CAGTCCCGCCGCGGCAGACAAGAGACGAGCCAGCCGGGCGTGGCACCTCGGCAGCCCAAAACAGCCAAAAGCAAAGACACGCACCGAAGTGGTCAGCACGGCCGTGTAGTTGTACGTGTTCCCGTATCGGTCGTACGGCGCGGTGGCGAACATCGGGAAGTGGCCGAGGAACCATGACTAGTGTTGTGTCGATCCCGAGTATAGGATAGGTGGGAGCAGGCGAAGGCGTCCGAGGATGACGGCGACGAAGAGACGGGTCCGGTCCAAGGGCACACAAGGACAGGCGGTGTGCGAGCGCGTTGACAGGTATGAGAGTCGAAGAACGGCGTGCGGCGGGAATTGCCGGCCGAAGTCGAACCCGATGTCCCGAATAGGCGTCGTAGCGCATCCCAACGCAGCGGACCGTCGACGGGCGCGAGATAGGAGGTCGTTGGTGTGACGGGCGCAGTAGAGTCGTCGGCGGGCGGGCGCAGCAGGTCGGAACGAGCGGAGACGGGCGGCCAGGGGAGCGATGATGGCGTGCGTGCGAAACGAGTGTCGGAAATCGAGGGGAATCAAAGATAGAGCAGAGCGCGCCGTCAGCGGGCTGTCCGTCGATCATGAAGCGTACGATGAAAGGGACTCACGTCGGTGTAGTACAGAATCGGGGCCAGGAACCAGTAGAAGAACGCGAACCCGCCGAAGATGTGGACTTGGGCCCACCACGGCGTCATGAGCGGGCTCCCAATCCACGAGATAACGGTCCAGTCGAACGTAAGGAGCGTCAGGCCCATGCCGTTCTCGACGCCGAATATCTGGTTGATCACGGCGTTCCGGGGTGCGATCCAGCAGACCCAGTTGAAGACGCTGAGCGCCTGGAAGAGGTAGCCGGGGAGGAAGAACCACGCAAAGGCGCCGCCTGCGACGTAGCAGAGGTACCTGTATCGCGAGATGCCGCCGGCGCCGAGTTCGGAATCGTCGGCTTCGGCGTGGAGGGTGTTGAGGAAGGCGCATGCGACGAGGTTTTGGGGCCAGACCATGCTTGCGGGCCATACCAAGAACCGCCTGCACAAGCCGGCCAATCCGAAGCCGGTGAGCTGGGTTGCGAGGACGAGAAGGATGGTGAAGCCAAAGCCGAGGTGTATGTTGTAGTAATACTCTCCGACGACGATGGCGTTGAGAGCGTATGGGGTGCCGATGGATACGTTGGACATGATGAACACCAGGGCGTGCTCCTTGATATTCCACGGCCCGGGGTTGAGAGAGATAGTCAATCCGCCTGGGAGGGTATAGGTGCTGATGGGCAGCACCAGCGCAAGCACCTTGCCTATCGGGTGTGCGATCATCATGAGCAGGAAGGGCACGATGCTCGGCGCCGGTTGGCGGAAATTGAAGAAGACGTTGAGTGCGCCGCCGACGAGGTTGAGGGTGAGGCCGACGAGCCACATTCTGAGCGTCAACGCGGGCATCTCCGGGTCGTCGATGTTGCTGACGCTGGCCCTGACCTCGGCGTAGGGCGAGTCCTCCTCCTCGTCGATCCCATTAAAGTCAAATTCAACCTTGACGCTCCCGCCGGGGGACGACGGGGGCGGGTACAGATAGCTGGCGCGGCTCTCGAGGGTGGGGACCTCGCTCGCACGGCGCTTGCCCTTCCCGCCGTCGTCGCTGTCCGCCAGCCTGACCCGGACCGCGGCGCCGCTCGATCCGGTCCCGGGCAGCCTGCTCAGCCTGAAGCCGTCCTCGGTGCCGTACGCCGTGGCAGCCGCGTGGTCTGTTGATGGCGGGGACTCGGCGAGGGGGACGACAGAGGGCGGTTTGGGGAGCGCGATCCCCGGTTCGGGCCCTATGTGCCTCGGCGTCGGGTCGTGCACCGGCGCGGGCGGCGGCAGGTCCAGTCGGGCCGCGTCGGCCGTCGAGGGCGGCAGGAAGGCAAACACGTCCTCGCCCGCGTCCGACTCGTCGTCCTCCATCTCGTCCTCGTACTCGTACTCCCCGCCGTGATGTCCATAGTCCGACTCTCCCGCCCCGTACTCGCTGTACCCCGCCCGGCTCGTTTGTGGTCGCCGGCCCGTAGACGCCGTGAATGGCCGCCAGCCGTTCTCCATCGTTGAACAGGCTGGGAGTGAAAGAGAGAAGAGAGTGTTGAGCGTCGTGGGGAGAGCGCGGGTGATAGTGCTAGGCACAAGGTACCACACCCCGGCGTTTTCCGCGTACCTTTTCCCAACCCTTCAATTTAATCTCTCATCCTCCCCACTAGTCTACCTGTCCCTTGTATTTATCTAGCCGAACCATCTATGACTTGACCGACCGACGCCAGCGATCCAAACTTGCAAACCGAACCATCCCGCTCTCGTCTGACAGCGCACCGACCATGCCTGCCCTGGCTGGTCCCGAACGCGAACAACGCCACAGCCGCCCTCCCGCCCTCCGTGTTCTCCGTTGAACGTTGCATGAAACGTCCGCGCGCTTTGCTCGGCGCTCTTCCGCAGCAGCACGAATCAGTGCCCAGGAACGGCGCTACGTGTCTAGACCTCCCGCGCCTCGAGGCCCGCTTCAGGGCTTGGATTGGAAGAAGCTCGCGTCCCCCGTCGAACCCGAGGCGCCATATCGTTTCTGTGCCCTGCCCAGCTGCAGGGCGGGCAACACGCGGATCTTGCGGGCTCGTCATCCGCAAGCAAGGTGGCGAACGTGCGCGCGAGAAGCCGTTCGTTGGCTGCGTACCCAATTCGCCGGGCTTTCGAGGTGGAGTATGAGAAGTTGTTCGAGCGCAATGTGGTGCACATCATGTCTACACGTCATGATATGCAATAGCGTGTTGTGGTACTTATAGTACAGTAGAACTTGAATGATTAGCGCAATGCGCTGGATAGGATCAAATTGCAATTCGGATACAGATTTCTTGGATACACCATGCCGTTCTCCCTGTCGCGGTTGTAAACGTGAGCCTAAGCATATGTACGGAGACAGTCAGACGAACATACCACTGGGCCACGTATACCCATCGCATTACTTGTCCTGTACAACCCGCTACCGCGTGTATGGCAAGAAGCGGGAAGATGCCGACTGGCCCAGTGCCCACTGCAAAGCACAGATGGCAGCCAATATCAGGATACCGGCGAACAGGTGGGCTGCCTCTCCCAGCCGTAGACACGACTAATGAGCACAGACACAAACGCTCTATCACGGCAGTTTCAGTACACATGAATGCGTAGGTGGAACGAAGGGGTATAACATTCGTGCTGGAGCACCGGGTGGCCTTTGCAGAAGGTCGCTCTGCTCCAAATCGCACGCCCAGACGGCAGCTCCCCGCACCGGTCAATATGATGGACGCACACGAGTGAGGGTAGTACACGCCTATCGGCGAGTGTACACGCGCCGTCGCTCGAGTACATGACCTCGACGAAACCTATGCGAGGCCGTACCATTACAGGCAGCAACCAGGTCACAAACTGCGGAGATCGCATCTGACTCTTTATAAGAGTCCGCTTGGGATAGACCATGCTCCGCCTCATCGTATTGGCACATCCACTCCCCATGTGTATACAGCAAATAGCCAAACACGTCGGAAGCGCTGTAGAGTGTTGCGCGTTGCGCGCGCCATCAGACTGACCAGCGTGTGAGTGAGTATTCCACTCGCTCTCGCCTGGCTCCAAGCCCGGTTCCAAAGAGCAAACATATCCCATTCCCCACCACAAAGTGGGGGTCAGGGCATGCGCGTTGAACAAGCTACAAGAACACGGGAAGCGCCGAGAGTGGTCTGTCCTCGACGCGGTCGCACTGAATACCCGTGGGAAGCAGGGAGTGTGTACACCAGGAACGAACATTAGCCCGAAAGTATGCAGGTGCTATCTCTGATTGAGAAAGGGGTCATCAGACGTGAAGATCTGCGGCTCGAGCAGATGAAGGTCGAGGACAAGTTTAGCCGCGGCGCGCGGTAGCCTCGCGTCCCGGGAGCGCCGCGTGTTTGCCCCTATCTTTCGCCACAACCAGCGTCGGTTTGAATCGCAACATGAATAGATATGGATAACCAGTAGAGAGTGTCATGAATGTCGTAAATGTAAACGTAATGGCCCAGCGTTCAACAATGGCTCGTTCATGCTCAGGTATCACAAATGCGGCTCAGCTCTCAACCCCAACCTCCTCCTGAGCGCAGCGACCCTCACGCAAACATCATTCACATCCAAATCCAAGAACTCTTCACCTTCCCCAGCCTTCTCGTCTCCGTCGTACATGGCAAAGTGATCGTAGGATGAGCCGGAGAGCCAGTATAGCGCGTTCATCAAGGCGGGGTCGGCGCGGTAGAGCAGTGCGTCTTCTTGTTCTTCTGTGAGGAGGCGTTGCCAGAGGCGGTTGCGCAGACGGCGGATGGCGTCGCCAGCGGAGACGGCAGTCTACGAATTCGCGCGTCAGTCAAAGGTATACAACGATAGGAAGACGACGTACGGATGTGGTGCGTTTGAAGATGCCCATCGTGGTATACCGAGTAGTGTCGCGAGGGTATACGAGAGTGTATGGTATTATCGAGGTGGTGAGGGTATAGGGCGTAAAGTCGTGAGTTCGTGAGTGGTGATGAGTAAGGTGAGTAGTGATGAGTAGAAGGTAGCGATGAGTAGGAGGGGTATCTAGGAGCGCTCGCGCAGAACGCGGCGGGTGAGTAGGGGAGTGGGTCAGAGCCACCGCCGAGTACTCCTGGGCTTGGACGATGATTTCTTTATACCGGCATAAAGCCGCGAACCCCGGTGCTATCCGCAACAGGGTGAGCGGATAGAGCACTGCTCGGTTGAAGAGGGGGGTCGTCGAGAGGGTCATCGTGCGCGCAACAGGAGCCCCTGCATCAATAGGAGACGCTGTCCAAGTGGTAGAGGCACGGAGTGCGCTCCCAGATACACCTTGTGTGTCCTTATGCCTCACGGAGAGGCATGGACGGCTAGCGGCGTGCATGAACGGCGTGGTGAACGACGTCGTCGCTACATAAAAAAGGAAAAGTAAAGTTGCCGGCACAGCGACAGTGACCACTCAGGAGGCCGAGGTCGCCGCTGGCCAGCTCCTCTTTGCTGTGCAGGCTCATGGTAGCCTGCTCACTGAGGCTAGGATGAAGGATTGCTTTTCTGGCAATGGCAAAGCCGGTGGTAGTGGTGGTCCACGGTCAACTCGCGAGCGCGGCGCGACTGGCAGGCGCGAAGTCGACGCGCGGTTCGAGTTGCTCTTGACTGTCATGTCGTACTTTGCGCCTCATACTTGCGCCCAGCTCATTGGCGATGTCCCTTCAGAGAAGATTGACTATACAAATATATCACGCCCACTCCCAACGGGCGGCGCACGGAATAATAATACATATAGGTACAAGTCTACACGATGTCGATGTTTGCCGTGAATGCCGCGCTCCTGAGCGCCTCCATGCGCTTCACGGCCTGGTCAGGACGCGCGATGACCTGAGCCACCACGTCCGATGCGCAGAAGCGCAGCTCAATAGCCTTCATCTTCTTCGCCGCCGCCGACTCCTCCCCGTCCTTCTGCACCTCGACCGGGCTGGCGGCAGTGACGGTCTTGCTACGCAGCAGTTTCCATCCGCTCTCGTGCTTCTTCTGCAGCTTCTTCGCAGACTGGATCGTAGTGGCCAGCTCGTCGAACGTGATGCGCTCGGCGGGGTTGATGGCGAAGAGGAGGAAGGAAAGCTCGATCTGCTTTCCGTGGCGGGTGACGTGCAAGTGCTTGAGAGCGGGGACGCCCCAGACGCAGGCAGACACGAAGCGCGCGTCGGAGGACTGCGCGGCGTCCCAGGGTGTCGCGCCGGTGATGAGATACACGAGAAGGATTCCCAGAGCCCAGATATCGGCTGTGCGCGGGTCATAGGCCTTATTGTCGGTCCTAGCCCAGCACTCTACAGATGCGCGTGAGCTATGAGGGCCAGAAACAGAGGGTGTCGTGCGTACCGGGAGCCATGTAGGCGCGTATCCCCGCGTCGCGGGGGACCACACTCGTCTCCGTCGTTGCGTCGTCGAATCCGCAAAGAGCGTACTTGAGTCCACTGTCATCGGACGCTATGACGCGTTCAGGGCAGATACTCTGATGCGCGATTGTGTGTTTGTGCAGAAAGCGGAGCGCATTGAGGACTTGAAGGGAGACGCGCTTGATGCACTCGTCACCGTCTTTCCCGGAGAAACGTCCTTGTTGGATCTGGGCGACCAGCGCCTGTTTGCCAGAGGTGATAGGACCGTGGTGAATGCAAGGGTTGAATGCAAGAGTCTCGACAACGTTGAACTTCTTCTTCTCGACGGGTGCGACGTTCGACGTAGCGGACGGGATAGTACGAGCGGGCATGATAGCGTGAGGCGCGGGTGGAAACGGTAGATTGGGTACAGATCTGGACGCAGAAGGCCGCGAACTTATTGGTGCAGGATGGCATGGTCTTGGACTGACATGCAGATCTCACCTGACCGCGTCCTGGTTCTGTTTCAGATCTCGCGGTGTTGATGCGGGGACAAGCAGTCATCTATGCATACTATGACGATGAATATCGTCTACTGATACTACGTGCTTCGCCAAACGTGTCGATGCTAGTAAAGTACTGTGTACAAGATCTAAAGCTACCCGTTGACCCGATTGTTGCAGTTGACGGTTGGCTTGCTCTAGTAAGCCCAGCCTGAGTGTCCTATGTGATTCGTACACGTCTTCAACCGGAAGCCAGTCCCGATGATGGCCTGCCTTGTTTCGGGCTGACAGGTGCCTTGTTGCGGATAATGACCGTCATGAAGAGCCCCTCACAGCACTATGTCGCGGTTAACCTGCAATATACGCCTCCTATGTGAGATCTCCCTCTTCAGTGCATTCCGTATCGGATGTCTCGCGTATGATGTCGAGACTAGTGGGCGTAGATGCCAGTATAAATACGGCCCGAGCGCAAGCCCCAGTGCATCATCCAATCTACTACCCACTCATCGCATTCACAACTCAACTCAATCACCACATACACAATCATGTCTTTCGTCAAGCGCGTAGCTCTCGTACGTCTTCACATGCTACATCCTTGATCTCATACTCATCATACTCCAGTCCGCCCTCTACAAGCTCAGGCGCATCCCCATCATGATTCGCAACCCCTCTTGGGACGAGGAGGACGAGATGCTCTACGCTGCAGACCCCGAGCTCATGACGCGCGTGAAAGAGATCATCCGCATCTTGACCTCCGACGAAGACGACATTGCGGACGAGTTCGAGGATGAGGAGGAAGAGCTAAGCGACTTCGTCGAGGTTCATGCCAAAGTGATCGCGCTGAGACGGCGTCTGGGACTGCCTATCATCACTCTCGACGAATGACTACCTGACGCAGCATTCGTCGGGTCGGCCTCTTCAGAGCCGGCCAAAGCGTCCGCATACCCTCGTCATGATGTTTGCGCCATCCAGATAGTGATCGACGTCGATGTATTGGTTTCGTGCCTATAATTGTGTAGCTATACCCATATACACCAGCTACATGCGTTTGCGCTGCGCGCACTGTTACAAACTTGGGCGAATATAATCCTGCTGTGAAGGCATGAGTGGAAGCGTAAGTCTGCAAGTATGGAAAGGACGCACTCGTAACCAGATATGCATGCACATCAGCACGAGGGCTGAAAGCGCATTGATGTCTCGAGCCATTGCAAGCGCGGCAGTAGAGATGCCACCCATTCTGGCCGGGCTGCCTGCATGTCCTCGATGTATATCGACAATATATACCCGACCTGCATGGCGAGGAGAAGCGTCTCTGCCCCCTCTGCGGACCTGAATTCGGCCGGTACACTGGAGTAGAATGCGCCTCGAAACGACACGACCGTCTTTTTGGAGTCCGAGGTCTCATAGTCCACGCCCTTGATGTTCATAACGGCTAGCTGGTGAATACACCACGCGCCCATGCCCAGCGGTAGAATCGCGGCTCGTTCCCAGTCGATGAGACCACTGATAGAGAAGTCATCGTTGAGGATTATCTGCCGATATGTCAAGGATGGGAAGCCAGCTCAGTGAGTAGAAGGCACGTACATTCTCGCGGTTGATGTCGGTGTGGCACACGGCTAGAGGCAAGCTCTTCAGAATATGAGCTCGAGCGGCGATATCCCGGACCTTCTCGGCCAGGTCTGCGCGTCCGTAGAATGGGTCTTGTCGTATAATCTGGTGCAGGCGAGGGATGACGAAGTCTTCAACGACAGATACGCTGCTCATGGGCAACTGTAGCCTCGCGACCAGGGCGCCGACCTCACTCGCAGCTCGCTTGTCGTCTTCAACAGCACAGATCCCGCGGTCTTCCCATAGAGTCCCGTCGGCGTACTGGCTGACATACGCTCTCCGACAGAGCCGCGTGTACACCAGATTCACGGTGGGCACGAGCTTGCCGACAAGTGCGCGAGCGAGAGCGACGATGCTCGTGTCGATATCGTCATCGCGAAACTGGACAATGAGTCTAGAGTTGTCGCCAAGGGTAACTTCGACGGTGCGGCTGTATTGGCCCTGGCTGGTACACATGTTGACGCTAGAAACCGGTAGACCGGTGTACCGGGCCGCGATGGCGGAAGCTTCGGCGAGGGCATGACCGACTGGAATACGCTCAAAGGTGAAGAAAGACATAGACCCGTCTATATTGCCATAAGTCAGCGGGAGCCCATGCTAGAACAAGTAGCTTGATTACATTACTGCGATGTTGTAGTCGGTATGCACGAGCGTAGTGCTATGGGATGTCCGGATCGCCTTTGGTGATGGGTGTCGGGGCGGTCAAATACTCGACCGTATGCCTTCAGACCGCGCGTGGGGTTGACGCTGTGCTACAGCACTTGGCTTGACGGTGGCGGTTATCGGTAAAGGAATAGATCGTCATGGTCGGCGACAAGTTGGAAAGAGGGCAGTGACGATGCGGGCCGACGCCCAATATTGGACGGCGAATTGTCGCACGGGGAAAGATCTGTGATGCCTAGCTGCGTGTGGCCAGCCAATCACGATGACCGAGGCCTCCACACCTTCTCTCAGTCCGGCCGAGGTCAAGATGAGGTGAACTCATTTCCTGTGAGGGTAGGCGCCGGACGTAATCCGTACAGAGCACGACACATAGTACCCGCCGCGCGATCTCGAAGCAAGAATGCCAACGAGCAGACGCGCCACATCTGTCGGCCGACATGATCTGTTGTTGGTGACGCTCGCCCTTGGGCCGGGCCTGGTCAGCTCATCGTGCAACCACGCAATCTTTGTCCCGGAAAGCGATAACCCGTACCTGCTTCCGAACCTCCATGTCTTCCGCCCTTGCGCAGCGGCCCTTCCCCTTGGATCTCATCTACGCCGTCCTCGAGCTCCTGGTTGATCGCCGCGACCTACATGCAGCTACACTTACCAACTGGGACTGGAATCGCGCGGCAACTCCACTGCTGTATCGCACGTTGGACTCAGATACGCGCTCGAAGAAGCATAACAAGGAAGTACGTCTACTACTGGATTTAGGGGCCAGAAGACCAGGTACCGACAGTACGAGCGCGATGCGCATATAGACACACCCCGCCAATACGTTGCTGAAAAGACCGGAGCTCGCTCGGCACGTTCGCCATGTTCATGAGGCTGGTAAGTCTGTACCATCGCACAAGATACTCCGCGGACGAGGGAGATACGCCGTGGGGTAGGCTGGGATGTCCCCGGTCTCTGACGAAGTTGTTCTCAAAGCTTCCAGTCTCGACCCTTCCGCGTGCACTCGGTGATTTCGGGCCATCTCCCCTGCGTCATACATGATAGGCACATAGCGTTCTGAACACCGCTCACACAGGTTTTCTGCACAAGAATGACCCGATCTTAACGGCACTGGTGCTACGCGCTCTAAGACTCTGCGTCAACATCTACTCTTTCTCTTGGGTGGACGATGGAAGTTCGTCTTCTCCAGAAGTCTTCGAGTCCTTTCTGGACGTGCTGGTGGCGCACACGCCGCGCGAGCTCACGATACGCTCGTACAGCGACCTCGGAGAGCGCATCTGGAGCAAACTGAATGGTATAGGTGGTCTGCATAAGGTCGTCGTGTGGTGTATGGAAGGAAAGCCCCGAATTCTTCAGGACTGGGCCGAGCGCCTGACCGACTCCCTGACCTCCTTAGAGCTAGGCGTGAGTGCATCCATACACCCTGGAACGTTCGATAGCCTGACGAAGGGCATAGCGTTGCGCAGGTGTACCAGCTACTCTTCTCGTCGACACACTAGCCCAACTGCCTTTACTCCGCGAACTGACGTTGAAGGGCGCTCCAAGTCAGTCGATGCACAATATCATGATGAACCTCCCAAAGCTCGAAGTTTTGGACACGGAGTACCTTGGGATGGGCGCTTTGCGACCCGTTGAGGACTCGCCCAACATGCCTCGTTTGCGCCGCTTGATCATTCGCACGAGCTCTGTCGACTTGCAGGGGCCTCGGCAACTTTGGGCTTGGATTCGGCAGCTCATACCGAGAACGTCACTCGAGTCGTTCACCCTCAATGCCTTCTCGACACAGGGTTACATGACCATCCCGAGGCATTTCCTACTCTCCTTGGCGCGAACGCACGGCGAGACCCTGAGAAGCTTCCTCGTCAATATGTCACAACTGACGCTTGAAGATATCGAGTGCATCTGCTCCTTGTTGCCGCACGTAAGGGAGCTCTCGTGCGCCACTACGAGCCCAGATCCTGTAAGTGGTACATTGTTCTTCGTTCGGACGCCCCTGAAGTTGTCCTGTGACCACAGCTGGCACTCAAACATGCAATCTCCAAGGGCAAACGGCTTGAGAGCCTGAAGGTATACGTCGCTTGGATACCCACGCATACACCAGAGTCTGTATTTCTAGTCCACGAAACACCATCAGAACGCTTCGGCAAAGTAGAGGCGCGCAAGCTGATGTTCAGGGAGGACGATGGGTGTCGAAACATCCGCCTGCTATCGGTCGGACCCCAGACATATGTTGTAAGTCCCGTCTTTCGCCTGTGCGCCATTGTCGGTTAACCAACCTTATCTTCAAGGGTCGTTGGCGACGTGTGCAGGAGAGTGATGGCACATGGAGATTGGACTTCGTCGTCGACGAAGACGCAGCAGACGCGGCGCTAGACCGCCATTGGGTAGGGGGGCTTCCAACTCCAACTTGAGGCGTGTACAGTAGCATGGACCCTGCGATAGCGAGGATCATGCCACGCTGTAGTAAGATATTGCACCAAAGCTCCGCGGCGATGATGCTCAGATTTAGAGTAAATGTCCGAAGTAGCGTACAACATCCAACAAGTATAACCTGACCGAGAACGCGCGTAGCGCTCACATACCTCTCCCGCGTCCGCGTCCACCACGCATCGGTGGACCTCCCCGAGGGCCTCCGCGACCTGATAATGATCGGATTCAGTACAGAAGGGCCACCAATATTTCAGAATATCTTACCTCCCCGAGTTTGCATGCCACCACGCCCTGATGCATATTGAGTACCGGTCTGGAGAGAGATGACACGTAAGGAGACTCACCACGACCAGGACCTGCATGCCCTCCACGCATGTTCCGCGATTGCTCGCGTTGTCGGTTTTGGTCCTCTTTCACAACGTCAAGCAGCTGATCTGGTACTCGCAGGTACTTTATCTGAGAATCCAGTTAGAGAAAATGATAGGTTCTGTGCATGGATCACGCACCGTGCTTCCCCGGATGTAGCACTCCTTCACTTTCCAGAACCGGTCGCCTTCTGCGCTCGTTTGATATACTTCTCGTAGGGTAATGTTCATGAAGTTGTCACAGTTCACCAAGTGGCCGTTGAAGGTTTCGCCATTCTTGAGCTCTACCAGCTGAGGTAGTCATCAGAGCAGAACGCAAGAGCCCAGAGACTGTTGCCCAGACCATAGGCTTATTTTGCGCGGCATTGAGAAGTGATAATGGCAGCTGTCGCGACTGTCAGATGAGCTCTCTCAGATAAATTATATCGCACGCACCATAGTATAGAGAGCGCGTTCTGACACGATTTGTGTGGCGTCGTGAGGGCAGCGAGCAAAACGCGCCCAGCGTGCGGGAACGCGCCTGCTCGCGCGCGCGAATCAACCTGGGAATCGCCACAAGTTGACTTGTTCAGAACTTCCACCACGGGTGCGCTATGTACTTCGGCCTCAGATCTCCGATACGTCTTTACGTGTGTCCTGTGACTCAAGGGCGCTCTTCGTTCGTATATAAGGCTGAGGACAGCAACGAAGTTGCTTGATCCTATCATCGACAGTCAGCTATGAGTGCTACTGCGTTCAACGGCTATACTCCCGCTCCTCCACTCAGCAGTGACAAGCTCTATGGCCCGGATCCGTACGACTACAACTTTTGCTATCCTATCGATTTCAGTTGCCTTGAAACGGATCGCGTCGCCTTACAGCCTTTCATCCCACGTATTCATGCACCGTTGTACTACGAACAGATTTCAAAAGATGCTAGTCTTGAGGAGTGGCTACCGTTCCGCACAGACACGCTCGAATCCTTCCTCGCTGCAGTCGAATCGTGGCGAGTTGGACCCGGAAATGTCTTCATTGCCATCATCGATAAGGGCCATCCTGGTCAGGAGCCTCAAGTACCCGGCGGCAGTCTTGCTGGGGTTATAGGCTTGTTCTACACATCCTCTACCACACTCTCCACCGAGATAGGTCCCGTCATGGCGTTCCCAGCATTCCAGGTGCCTCTCAGTCCTTTCTGTCTGCATCACCCAACAACTAAGCTCCCTTACTAGCGAACCTATGTGATGTCGAGTGCCATCGGCCTACTCTTGCGTTACTGCCTCGAGATTCCATCCAAAGGTGGTCTAGGGTTGCGCCGTGTGCAATGGACGACGAGTCCGTTGAACAAGGCCTCGATCAGGACAGCGACGCGAATGGGCTTCAAACAGGAAGCCGTCTTGCGCTGGTCCTTCCCTCTACAAGACGAGAAGAAAGTTGGGCACGGACGGCCTCTGCGCGAAGGCGATCCGCTCCCTCACAATCCCGGCAGGGATAGCGCTCTTCTGGCTGTCACTTGCGAGGAGTGGGAAGACGGAGGACGCGAGTCTGTGCAAGCTCTGATGGATAGAACGTAGGAGACCGGCATGGATGGAAGAATCGTAGTTGAACTTGAACTCAGAAAGACTAGATGTAACCACTATTGAATCTCGAAGTTGTGTATCTACATCAAAGTGTATGCCCACCTCTGTGCAACGAAATGTCTTTTTGGCCGACTGCATGGAATAGTAGGTCGAAGCATGAGCTTACCCATGGACGTGCGCGCGGGAATACGCGAATCGAGTTGCGGCGTTCTGGCCCGAGGCTCGAGTTGAGCCCGACGCCCCGACGAGCACTTGTCCCGAACCATGATCACGCTCAGATTCCTGTGTATAATCTCTCGGTCGCAGTCTCCGATACATTCACGTTTACTCCATGGGGGCTGCAAAACGCAGTGATCAGACCACTCGGTGGTAGCACGCCGACTCACCGCCGAGCCAACGTCGACTATGACTCGAAAGCGGTCACCCTCGCCTTAAAGGCTCCCCCAAAGAGGCATCGAAGTTGCTCAAGTTCGATCTCATCAGCGAAGATGTCTTCCGCTGCATTCAACGGCTACACTCCTACCACACTGCCTAGCGGCGACGAACTCTACGGCCCGGACCCGTATGACTTCAATTTCTGCCTCCCCCTCGATTTTTCCCGCCTCGAAACCGACCGTGTCGCCATTCAGCCATTCATTCCGCGCATACATGCACCACACTACTTCGAACAGGTCTCCAACAATCCTGCTCTGGAACAATGGTTGCCCTTCCGCACCGACTCCCTCGAGTTCTACCTCACGATCGCCGAGAATTGGCGACGCGAACCCAACAACATTCTGCTCGCGATCATCGACAAAGGTCGTCCCGGTGTAGGGCCCCAAGTCCCGGGTGGCAGTTTTGCGGGTGTCATAGGCCTCCTTCACACCTCCGCCCCTTCGCTCTCCACCGAGATCGGCCCTGTCATGGCGTTTACGCAGTTCCAACGGACGTATGTCACATCGAGCGCTGTCGGGCTTCTCTTACGCCACTGCCTGGAGGTGCCGGCCAGAGGTGGCCTCGGGCTTCGCCGCGTCCAGTGGAAGGCAAACCCCCTCAACAAGGCCTCGATTAAGACGGCGACGCGCATGGGGTTTAAAGAGGAGGGCGTCTTGCGTTGGTACTTCCCTCTACACGATGAGAAGAAGGTCGGCCATGGGCGTCCACTCAGAGAGGGCGACCCACTGCCCAATAAGCCCGGGAGAGACAGCGCCCTATTGGCGTTCACCTGCGAGGACTGGGAAGGTGGCGGGCGAGAGTCGGTACAGGCCCTCATCGACCGAAAGTAGGGTGAACACAGGCTACAGGTGGGCTTTGTTAGCGTAACGGTCCAGCATCACTATGCTCACACATCCGGGACAGTTATCATCGCTCCAGCTGGCAAGGCGTAGAGTCTGGTGTTGATGCGAAGTCTATTGTGTTACGTGATCTGTACAATGCATATAAGTGGAAAGTGGATCTGTCTGCGATGCAGCATCTTCACATCATTACACCTCTTACGCGTCCGTCCGAAAAGCCGACTGCGTCGAGCACCTGTCAAAGCGTCGGGTGCAGTCCAAACATAGGCAGGAGCGCCCGATCGACCGTGCCTTGTCAACCCACCAGTCCGACTGTAGAAGGCCCGACGGAGATCACACTTGCTTTCCACCACCATGTCCACTGTAATCAACGGTTATACTCCCCCTCAGCCTCCCGTGATTGAAGACTTGTACGGCCCAGAGCCGTACGACTACAACTTCGGCGTCTCTGTGGACTTCACTCGGCTCGAGACCGACCGCATTGCTCTAACACCACTCGAACCTCGTATACATGCGCCGCTCTGGTTTGAGCAGGTATCTAAAGACGCCAGTCTCGAAGGGTGGATGTCCTTCCGGCATGATTCGCTGGATCAACTCCTTCGACGACTCGAGACTTGGAGACGCAACCCAAACGTACTCATCTTCGCGGTCATAGACAAGGGTCGTCCTGGTCAAGCGCCGATTGTCCCTGGTGGCAGCTTCGCGGGCATCATTGGTCTCGTCCAGTATTCAGCGCAGAACCTGTCTGTGTCCATGGCGCCCATCATCACATGGCGCGACTTCCAACGGACGTATGTAACATCAAGTGCCATCGGGCTTCTCCTTCGTTACTGCCTCGATACGCCAGCTCAAGGCGGTCTCGGATTACGCCGTATAGGCTGGATCGCGAACGAAATGAATGCCGCGTCGGTCAGCGCCGCCTTACGGATGGGATTCAAGCACGAGGTCACTCTGCGGTGGTCATCAGTCCTACTAGATGAGAAGAAGGTCGGCGATGGGCGCCCTCTGCGAGAGGGGGATCCGCATCCGGGACGGGGCGGAAGGGACAACGAAAGATTCTCGTTCTGCTGGGAGGACTGGGAGGACGGCGGGCGCGAGCGAGTTCAGGCGCTTATTGACCGGAAGTAGTGCAGACGTGAGTCTCTTCCAACATATTATGTCAGTGAACTTCGATCTGACGCTTATTGTACTCAGAAAGTTGACATGACGCGAATTGTATCTCCATTCTCGAGGAGTTCTGCATGTATGTTGTGTCCCAGATGGCCTGCTGGGCGTGTTCTCCCACCCCACAGCTCAGTCTTTGCTCAGATGACTGCCGAGTTCGACTGTGCATCCTTAGGGCCATTTCGGCAGCACGCGTTGAGTTGCGTTGAGTCGAGTTCCCCAGCCAAAACGCCGCCTACACCCTCTCGTAAGGTGCCGGAAGTAGTTGATGGGCGGCCGTTTTGGCTGGGCGAACTCATCTACACCCAACTCAACTCACGCTGCCGAAATGGCCCTTACGAAGTCCGGCGAGATGACGCCGCAGTGTGGATGATGTGACTCGAGTGTATTCGCCATCCTTACAAATACTCTTTTCGGGATACAAGCGCAAGAAATTCCAGACGTTCACGATCTCTCCAATTTCGCTACTCTACTTCGGACATGTCGACAGGTGCATTCAACGGCTACAAGCCTGTGCCACTGTCAGAAGGGGAGGATTTGTATGGTCCGGACCCCTACGACTACAACTTCTGCACCCCGATCGACTTCTCTCGCCTCGAGAACAATCGCGTCGCCCTTGTACCACTCATCCCCCGCATCCACGCACAACACTGGGTCGAGCAGTCGAATCAGCATCCTAGCTTCGAAGCGTGGCTCACGTTCCGCCACGAAACAATCGAGCAACTCTTGCAGAAGCTCGAGCTTTGGCGCCGCAACCCTGAGCAGATCGCGTTTGCCATCATCGACAAGGGCCGCCCTGGTCAAGCGCCGGTTGTCCCTGGCGGGAGCTTTGCAGGTATCATCGGCCTTCTGCACTACTCCCCGAGGACCTTATCGACGGAGATCGCACCCGTCATGACGTTCCCGGCCTTTCAACGGTGATTCAACTCAGTCTACCTCAGCGCTGCCCAGATCTGACGCGAACTCAATCTCGTAGGACCTATGTAACATCGAATGCCGTCGGCCTGTTACTTCGCTACTGCCTCGATGTGCCCGCTCAAGGCGGCTTGGGGCTTCGTCGCGTTCAGTGGATCTCCAACCCTCTGAACACCGCATCGGTCAATGCAGCGAAACGGATGGGATTCAAGAGTGAAGGTATCCTGCGCTGGACTATGCTACTCAAGGACAACAAGAAGGTTGGCCATGGACGTGCTTTGCGAGAGGGAGATCCGCTACCCACCCAGCCTGGTCGAGATGATGAAGTTCTCTCGCTCTGCTGCGACGACTGGGAGGCTGGTGGGCGCGAGTTGGTACAGACTCTTGTGGATCGGAAGTAGCTTGCAAGGTACTATTCTTAGCGCCTATATGCACCGCTTATACGAGCTGACGTACGATGAAGGGTCGCACTCAATATTGTACTACATTGTTTCGTGCTTAAGTACGGTACATGCCACAGTGATCCCGGTCCCTCCTGTACACCTCATCGGTTGTTCAAGTGCAAGTCGTCCACTATAGTTGTAGTATGCGATGTGTATCGGCGGAAAAGTTCGTTTGGATACGGCGCAAGGTCCCTAGCCACACAAGCGTTAATGCTTCGGGCCCTTCCCGTTCTGATCGAGCTCCACGTGCGGCAGGCAACGGGGCCCCGTACCCCGTACTATGACTCGAGTTGAAGACGGGATTCATCGTTCATAAGGCGCGAACATTGAATTCAAACATGGATCACCACAACCATGCCCGCCGTCAACAACTACACCGCTCCGCCCGCGGATGAGATTCCCAAGGACTACTACGGACCCGATCCCTTCGACGTGAACTTTTGCTTCCCGGTAGAGAAGTTCTTCGACCAGCTCGAATCGGATCACGTCAAGCTCGTCCCCTTCGTACCTCGGGTTCATGCTCTCCCATTCACAGAAGCGATCGCGGAGAAGCCTGAGACTATGCAGTGGCTCCCGGTAGCGCCGACGACCCTCGAACAGTTCCTCCCATTCTTCGAGCGTACCCTCCGTCGTGACTCCACACTCTGCACCTTTGCCATCATCGACAAACTGAGGCCTGATCCTAAACACCCTGATCTCGGCGGCGGACTCGCGGGCATGATGTCGCTGATGGCAGCCAGTCCAGGGAACCTGTCGGTAGAGATAGGTTGGATTGTCATCCTACCCAAGTAGGTCCGCACATGCACAGAAAGGTATGACCCTGAGCAATCCTCAGATACCAGCGGTCGTATGTCCAAACGCATGCGTCGTCGCTCCTCTTGAAGCTCGCGCTCGAGGTTGCTCCCAAGGGTCTCGGATTGCGGCGTGTACAGTGGTGCACGCATAGCAAGAACCAAACGAGCGTCAACGCAGCCGAACGATTGGGGTTCAAGATGGAAGGCGTCTTACGCTGGCTCAGGGCTTTGCCAGAGGGACTAGAAGGCAACGGTGTTCCATTGCGTGAGGGCGACCCCAAGCCCAACAATCCGGGGAGGCATACGGTCCAGCTGTCACTCTGCTGGGATGATTGGGAGAATGGTGGTCGCGAGCACATTGAAAAGCTCATGGCTCGGTGAAGGTATACTTCAGATCAGGTTCTTTGGCCCGGCTAACGTATTTCAATGGTAGCAGATACACCAAGGGCAATGCAATCCGAGTCATATCGTACCGTCGCAGTAGACACGTGTCTGTATTGGATCTGTATGCAGTACGTAGCCTCACTGAGTACGGACGTAAGGCTCGTTCTGAGCGGAGTCGTGATGGAAGTCAAGAAGAAGTTAGGAACTGCGCCACTGCAAGCGCTTTTCGCGCAGTGCCACATTGTGTTGGTTAGACACGCACGCCTATTGGAGTGCACTGAATGCTACAGACGCGGGTCCCCTGTGGTACCTCATGGAAGGCTCAAAAAACATCGAACGGGTGCGATTCCCAAGCTATTACGCGTGGGTGCAAAAGGCGCCTTCCACTTCCCCGCCAATCATCACAAACATGACCGCCGTCAACCACTACACAGAGACACAGATTGTTGACGATATCCCCAAGAACTACTATGGTCCCGAGCCATTCGATGTGAACTTCTGCCTCCCGGTGGAGGACCACTTCGACCAACTAGAGTCTGACCGCGTCAAGCTTGTCCCCTTCCAACCCCGCCTTCACGCGCGTGCATTCGTCGAACAGCTGGTGGCAGAGGACCTAGAGACCACGCAGTGGATCGTAATGTCGACGACTTTCGACGAGTTTCTTCCATCTTTCGAGCGCCTCTTTCGGCGCGACACTGGTCAATGCACGTTCGCTATCGTCGATAAGCTACGGCCCGATCCAGCATACCCAGAACTCCATGGCGGGCTCGCAGGGATGGTGTCCCTCGCGGTGGATAACCCAGCAACATTGGCGTCGGAGGTCGGGATCATCACCTTCCCCGCTTATCAGGCGACGTACGTGACGACGCACGCGATGGGGCTTCTCCTCAAGCTCACGCTCGACGTTGCGCCCAAGGGTCTCGGGCTTCGGCGGGTGCAGTGGTGCACTCATAGCCAGAATCAAAGAAGCGTTCATGCTGCTGAGCGACTGGGGTTCACGAAAGAGGGGGTATTGCGCTGGCTTCGCGTTCTGCCCGAGAGGAAGGAGGGGAATGGCATCTCTTTGCGCGAGGGTGATCCAAAGCCGAACAACCTGGGAAGAGACACGATCCAGTTGTCGCTTTGCTGGGACGACTGGGAGAACGGAGGGCGCGCACAGATCGAGAAGCTCATGGCTCGGTAAAGGTATGCGCGGGCACGTAACTTGTATCGAAAACGGCTCACGCATTCGAAGTAGTGCCTTACTCAGCACTGCTTCTCGGTGAAAGAGAATGGAGCCAATGGATTGATTCTTCTTGCTTGAACCTTGATTATAGTACTGTACTTATATGGAAGCATCACCACGAACAGTAGACATATGACGCAGAGCGCGATAGACTCAACCAGTGACCCGCTCTACCCGTCGTGGTGGGAGTCAGAAACAAGTCGGGGACTGCGCCGCTGCTTGCGCGTACTCGCGCCCACATGGCGCATGTCGGCCGTCCCGCGCCGCTCCTTCACCGCGCGCCCATGGGCGCCCTGATTGACGCGCACCAGGTTCCGCTAATGATTCCTAGGGAGCGATAAAGGGTCTACAAAAGGTCTGCGCGCTGCGGCGAGGGCACGCAGTTTGCTCTTTGACTCCTCCAGCCATGATCGTACTCGACGACGAGAGTCTCGTAGACCCCTCTATCCGCAAAGAGCCGACTACGCCCCCTGCTACGAGTGCCTATGAGAGCGCTCAGCCGCTGCGGGACCAGGCAGCCGCTGGACCTCAAGAACCCCAGCCAGACGAACCGCTACTCTCGGGACAGTCTTCGCAACCTCTAGGTCCTCCTCCCGCGTACCCTGGATATCAAAGTACCGGTTATCAGTCTTTCCCTGAGCCGCCTCCCCCGCCTCCAGCTCATGAGTACGATGAACGCGAGCCAGCCGGTCCTCGATTCATTAAGGCGTTCATCGTCGCAATCCTCATCTATGCTTTGGCGGGCAGTATTGCCGGTAGCATAGTAAGCTCGTCTTATCCGGCTCCTAGACACGGACACCAACCATGGGTACGTTTCGCGCATCTCCGTTAGTTCTGAATCGGGTCCACTCACGTATTCGGCAGCGGGTGGAAACCTGGGAGGATCTCTTTCCAGCCGATAGCGCCGTCAAAAGTGCGATGTGCGCCGATTCGACATCATGGATTCTTGCGCCCGACTACGTACCGGGTGATCGATTCCCGCACGCTGCTAAGCTCGCGACCTCTTTCGAGCTATCTCTGGGCTCTTTGGATGTCTTCATGATGACGGGCCCTGGTATACAAGGGAACGTGACGTTCAACGATGATGATACTCTGCGGGACACCGCAAGGGTCACCGTGGCGGCGAGAATGGACGATGCAGGATGGAGTGCCCTTGAGCGTACAAGCGTCTGCAAACGATCGCTGAATAGCATGTCGAACGGTGTTTACATCTTGGTACGTCCTACAGCTCTTACACATCTTGAAGCAACGCTGATGCTGGTACGACACCAGTCTGACGCCTCGGATTCCCTCTTGCAGTCGTTGTATCTTGACGTGGTTGTGTCGATGCCAACTAATCCGCGGCCACGGGCGCTCAATATACCTGAATTGATGGTAGGGATGGCTTCAATGAACTTGAATATGAAGTTCTCCGCGCCCTACGTCTTTGGGAGCGTCGCTATTCGCGCAAATCATGGCAACATCCACATCGACGTGCGTTTTGTTTTTGTACCTCTCTTCTCCTGTACTTAATCAGTGCTCTAGGCCCTTGTTGCGGATGATATCACGCTTAAAACCCTGAATAGTGCAATCACTGGACATTACACGGCCAAACGCATGTTCAACCTGAGAGCCACGAACGAACCAGTCGACATTCACGTTGCGCTGTCCGGTGGCAAGCCAGATGGGCATCCAGCCGAAATAGTTCTCGGAAACATGAATGCGTACGTTCCCGCGATCCTGTGAAATGACTCTCGAAATGACTGACGTCTATATAGGCCGGTTAACGCAGGGATATCTCTTCACTCGGAGACGGACGACAGGACGGGCAATTATCGCGTCGTGGCTACGACAACGAAGGCGCCACTCAACCTGGAATACAGGCGTGTACCGGTAAACGCTAAGCTTGACGCGTACATGCGAACAACGGAGGCGCCAATCCACGCGAGGTTGGACTCTGCCTTCGAGGGTAGCTTCCAACTAATGAATATCAATGCTGGCGATGTCGTGATTGATAACAGCACCATCCATAACGGTGACGCCGGCTCTAGGCGCCATCGTGAAGTAGAGTGGAGGACGGCGGGTCTACGCGGTCGGGACCGTGTCACGCAGGGCGTCGCACATTGGTCTCCCTCTCTACGACCTGTGGACACTATGGGCAGCATTGCTTGCGCCACCACAAACCATGAGATCGAACTATTGCTATGACCATGACCTTGTACGCATACACCACCGCTCCCATTTTGCTTCTCGCTGTTACTGTACTACGCTCTCCCCACTCGCACATCTGTATATTATCTGCTGTATAGTACATACCACTTCTCTCACACATTCACGCCGTTAGCACACACGATGACGAATCCGAACACGCGCAGCTACGCTTCGTCTTCCTGCAGTTGGCCTTATCAGAAACTAGCTGGAAGCGCCCGCCGCGCACCGCTGCGCAAGGGGGTCAGGGGACGGCAAGAGATTCCGCACCCATCGTTGCACGCGGAGCTCAAATATATTGCAATGTACTTTAACCGGGAGTCAGGGACGATGGCGAGACCGAGCTCACCACCCGCTCTTCCCCACCCACCATGATCGTTTTGGACGACGAAGAGGACCAGTCTCTCCAGAAGTTGCGCGAGGATCGCGCCAGTGCCGTCGCGGGGCCATCAACTTCTCTGCCGAGACCGATACCTTCAGCCTCGACGCGCTTGTTGGACCCGCGTCCAACCGGCGAGCCCGACCTTGAGGCTCCTCCAGCGTATCCTGGGACAGGATATCAGACATTCCCGCAACCGCCTCCTCGCCCTTCGCCTTCATCGCAGGACTCTTTACCGCCTCCCGCAAGCGCCGAAGGCAAGCGCCCGGAGACTGACACCCGGCGCCGCTTCGTCAAGGCGGTCATCATAGCGCTGATCATATACGCGCTGGGAACTGTGCTATGGGCGCTCTTTACTGGCCATCGCGGAGACGACTCTTGGGTGCGTCCTGTGCTAAACACAGTATGATAGTACTCATCACGATGGTGAACAGGAAGGACGGGAATGGCCGAAACCGCCCGAGGGTCGTTACGAGGTCCAACAGTGCTCTACGTATTATCAATTCGCCAAAGAAGACTTTCTGCTCGTGAAGCCGCTTCCTGACGCCCAAGAGGGCACCTTCTTCGTCACACTGGGTGACCAGGTGGCAGGTTCTGTGCACTTTGTGTACGACGAGTCATTGAGGGAAGCCGAGGCGCATATTCAAGCGTTTGATCTCGACGTGGATCAGCAAGAACTGATCGCGCGCACGAAAATATGCTCGCTTCAGAATGGGAAGACCCAGGGTTTGGGCATCTCGGTGCGTGTTTATGAGCTTCTCTCGCCCTCACTGCAAGGCTCACTCGCACTCAGACACCGGCAAAGCGCATCGGTTCAAGGGCGCTGAACGTGAACGTGACATTGGCTCTTCCTTATGCGACCTCAAGCTATGGCCGCCAGCGGCACCTGAAATCACTGACTTCCAACGCGCGGAACTTCAAACATACGCTTTACCTCCCCCAAGATCGTTATTTCGTGGAGAACGTCGACTTCAGAACCACGAACCAATACATCATCTCCGGAGTATGTGTTCCGTATCCTGCCCATAACATATTCATGTACTGATGAAATTACAGAGCATAGTCGCCGACTCTGTTTCCTTCCAGACCACCAATGCTCTCATCGGCGGCGAATTTGCCGTAAACAAGTTACTCAGCCTGAAAACTTCGAACGGCCGCATCGAACCCAAGGTCGTCGCGAAGAATGATCCCAGGCGCACGAATGAAGAGACAAAGATCATCTTCACCTCTTCAAACAGGTCTGTCCCTTCGAAAGGCTTTCTCTCTGTATCAAGCTAACCACGTCCTGTTTAGCCCGATTGAGGGTCGCCTGGACCTCCTGTCGGCCGCGCCCAATGGCAAAGGCGGGAAGTTCCGCGTCGAGGCGAAGACTACCAACAGCCCGGTGGTGCTCACGAACGAGCAATTATCCTTGGACGCTGTGTTAACGCTCAAGGCGCGCACCGAGAATTCTCCTGTCAACGTCCATGTAGCTCCCGCCTTTGAAGGGACCTTTGACCTCTCAACGACGAACAACGCCATGGTCGTGGAACAAGAGAATAAGGTGGACCCAGCACATCGTAGTCGGCAGCGCAAGATCTCTATCGAGCGTCACGATAGGAGATATACGGGGTACGCGTCGTGGTCGAAGGATGAGGCGGAGCGCGGGAATGGAGCGATTTCTATTGCTTCTATGAATGGGCCTGTCAGTTTGTACCTATAGTCTTAGTGTCTTCTTGTGTACTGCTTATATGTCACACTCTCTCCTGTACCCTGTTTGCTACGTCGTTCTCTAGTTTGTGGCCGCGGTTTTTTCTGCATCGCGCGCACTCTCGTTGTGTTTAACATTCCCTGCCGTCGAACATATTCACTGCTTCTCATATCTGTTGGTGGCGCTTGTCACATCACTCCGAACAACGATGATACGACTCTAAGGATGCTTCCCCAACGTGCGAAGCAAGGATCGCCGCTTAATTGCTCGATATGGAGACTATCTATTTTGACCGTGATGCATCCCCAAATCCGCCACTAGTCTACGCGATACAATGCCACCAAGTAAACCCAATAATGAGGAGTGAACTACTATGATGGTCGATATTGTATAAGATTAGGGAAGGGCTCATAAACAGACTAAAGAGTTGGATTAGCGTCAGGATCGTAAAAAGGCTGGCAGACTTACATCGCGGTACAACCCGGCGAGCTTCATTCTGAGCAGACACTTTCCGCTCACGCTATGCGCACCATCCTCACTCAGCCATACATTCCACAGCCAGCTATCCCGCGGGATCTTCGCCTCAAGGTGCTTCCGCAGCAGACCCCAGCCCGAACCATCGTGATGAAGGCCTAATGAGCGTGCAAGGCGCTGGAGATGGTTGAAGACGAGGGTGTGGTAGAGCTTCTTGGCGGCCTCTTCAACGCTGGCGGTGACCACACAGTGCCCAGGCAAGAACTGGAAGTCAGTGCCCGTACTTGCGCGTAAGGTCTCTGCGTGAACACGTAGGCCACCCAGGTCGCGCATGACGAAGCCGCGTACTCGCTTCGTGGAGCGTGAGAGCCGAACTAGCGTATTCTGAGGGTGCGCTTCGAAGGCAAGTCCGTTGTGCAGCATGGGCGGGACGACAGCGTCAACCAGTAGCCGAGTATACCTGTATCAGCGGTCAGATAGCGAAGACGTTGATGAGAGGTCACTCACTCATCGAAGAAGGACACACGTTTCTCGCGTGTGTCCAACCCAAGTATCTGCTGGGCAGCAGACACGCCGGCTGGAGAGTTCGCATGCCCAGTCTCACCGAGAGCTGCGACAAGTACGACGGCTTCGTCTTCTTTGGGAACGTACGGGTCGCGTAGTACAGCCGTGAAGTGCTTGGCGATGTCTTCATCGACCGTGTTGCCGTCCATGTCGCGCATACAGACGGCACTGCCCGTCTCACGTTCGATGTACAACACCTCGGGATCAACCGCAAGTTTGGGCACAATCTCCTCAGAGAGGCGCGGTCCAACGTTGGCGGTGTAGTGTGAGATGGTGCGTAACGCTGAGGACACCTTGATCCCAACGGCAAGCTTGAGAGCGAAGGAAAAGCCCGGGATCGTGATGGTTCTAGCGAAGATATGACCAGATCAGGATACCAGGACAGGTGAGAATTTCGCCAAGCGTACACACCTTAAACTCGCCTGCGCCTGCGTCTGAATGCTGATACTTTCTGGAAGGATTTGCACATCGGGGAACTTGTCCTCGATGTTCGCCACTTGAAGATCGTATACGGGCATAATGAGTCGATCCGGTGGGATCTCAGGCAGGCTCGCACCCGTATGTGCGGCAGCGACCTTCACCAAGTCGAGAATACGAGCTTCAAAATCTCCCCGTATGTCGACCCTGGAGCGCGAGACCACGGCGAAGCGGACCTTGGGCCGGTACCAGTCACGAGTGGCGGGCGTCAGGGGTTGAAGAGGGGGGAGAGTGCGGCGTGCGCGATGCATGGGGTGCGTGGGATGGCCTTCGACGAGACTTTGTTCCCATTCGATAGCAGATGCTCCTAACGCAGGAAGGAAAGGCAACCTATCATAGATTGCCTCTAATACACCAATCAGTTGGAGCCATGCACATAGACGCGGTCACGTACTTTGCCACATAAACGAACTGGCAATCTCCTCCAACAATGTATCGCGCATGGAGACTTCCATAGCTGCATCTTCTGCAAATCGTGTCCACCAAAAACGCGGACTGAGAGTGGTCCTCAACGAGGACGCGTCGTCAACTGTCCAGTGCGCGGCACGCAAGCATGTTGCAATGTTACGCCGTTGGAATTCCTGTGAGTCATACGTCAGGAGCAGCAAATGAGGAAGGGTAAGAAACCCACTTCGCAGAGTTCTCCCGCCTCATCGCCGAAGAATAGGATGTTCGGAAGCATGTCGAGGGGGTCCAAGAGCCACACGGCATTGTCCTCTTTCAAGATCGGTACGTGATGCACAGGTACGACTGCAAAGATACCAGCCACCGTCTTCGCTCCGGATGAAGAGGGCTTTACCGAAGCAAATATGACGCAAAGTCCGGCATAGTCCTCGGCTTCGGATGGTATGTAGATCGCGCGAAGCAACGCCTCCGTAACGAAGCTAGCGAGCAGACGAGAGGTGACCGCAAACGCAGCGCGCTGCTCGGAGCTGAGCTTCGCAGTGGCGGCAGATGTCTCGGAGACTGCATAACCCATTCTTGGTTCTTGCGCGTCCTTTTCGTCGAGCGCTGCCACTGGTGATGGACTTGCTTTTGATTGGGAACCACGCCGTTTGGGCGCAAAGAAAGACAGACGTTGCCAGGAGGAAAGGGTGATTGCCATCGTAGGAAGCGAAGTGCAAGGGTTTCGGATGACGCTCAGCGGATAGAAAAGGTCTGGCCAAGAGGATGTCGCAATGGTTGAGATGGCGGCCCGCCGGCGTAAGGATCGGGCTGAGCAGAATCACCGCGCTCTCCGAAGAGGGGTGTTCCGGATTGAGACTGGAATAAACGCACGGACACGAACATGGGTGTTTTAAGCGAGGACCCCTACGCCGCAGACCGTGCCGACAGCGGTGAGCACAAGGCCCCAGGGGCCCGCGTGCGCGTTGGTGATCGGCCCTCCGTCCGTTGGAAGCGGATTATCGGCATCTTATTTTATCAGATGATCTTTCTCATCATCGACGAACGTTGACATCTCCGTCCTGACTGCGCGATTCCGGCTCGCCCGAAGTTAAAAACCGACTGGGCGAGAATGTCGTACACGAATCTAAGCAGGCTCCTCCCTGGGAAGCTTGAAGCGACAACTAAGCACCTTCATTAGCAGCGTCTTATATTGTGACAGCCTGCAGCAAGAGGTTGGAAATACGGTCTGCTACTAGTCTCCATGAGCATTCATTCGGGAGATCAACTCCAAAGGAGTACCTTCCGCGTATGGTACCCGCACAGTCAAGAATCTATGAAACTCGCCGACGTGTAGCGGCCGTGGTGATCAGACGAATCCTCGCTGCGGACTGTCGAGCCTTGGTCCGGGCACACGCTGACAGGCTTGAGGACGAAAGGAGGCGGACCATCTGTATGGTGATATGCTTCGATGCTTCATGCGCTGGCGTGGCGTACTAATCCTTCTTAGCTAGTCCGAGGCCGACCGCTTCTCTGATATCTTTCACATATGATCCTTCCCAGCAGCGTGGTCCTGCGTGTAGAATGGTCTCAATGGAGCGGGAGCTATCCCAAGCAGTGCTTCCTCGGCCCGGCGGAGACGGGCCTCCAGCGTCCAGCTAGGTCCAGAAAAGGTATGGACGCGTGCAGTATAGAGACGAGTTCACTGCTTGTGATTGAGAACGTGAATAGGTCTGGGAATAAAGTATATGAGGGTGGATTCTACTGGGATACTGCCCATGAGTGTATTTTCTCTTCGTCATGTAACAGTTGGCTCACATGATGACTATGTAGCAGACTTCGAGCTGGCTGACGAAGCTGAAGGTATTTGTACGGGGTCCCCTTTCTTGATACCCCATACCGCCATGAGCGCCTCACGCACTTCTCCTGGCGTCTTGCCAGATTCGCCGTCTACTACAGCCTTCTTTGTGCCGAGCCACAAGTTGCCTCGGAATCCATCCGCGTTAATCACCAATTCTGTTTCGTCCCTCCCAGGATAAAGTCGCGCAGCTGAGAAGGGAACCAAACTAGCACGAGAGTAGTCCAGCGCGCTCTGAATCAAGAGACGCTTCTCCGCGCCGTTGCCAAGCGTCGGTGCTGTGCCTGGAGGTAGTACACGGATGCGGCGGACAACACGGGATTGTAAAGCAATTATTAGCGCTGTGAGGCCAAGCCCTGCACAAATCTGAAATCCACCGAGGCCTGCGCGCATCCAGGTAGGTTGTGGTAGCCATTCTTCGCCGGTCTTCGCGTCTTCAGGGTCACTGGGATCAGCAGCTCTTTTCCATTGAGTCCACGACGCTTCTGCCATTGTGAAACTAAATATAGCATGAGTGTATATACATTAGTTTTGAGATGATGATACTCGCCTGGAGAAGAGACTGGCCCCGGCAAATAACCAAGAGTATTTGATCCACCATGGTCGTGGGGATTCGTAAAGCGGTGGGCGTCCAGTCAAAACTGGGTCAAGCGCCATCTTCTTGTCGAAGCGCACTACAAGCCTTTTGGCAGCCTTCCCTGCGGCAGAAGCCATCTCGACGCGTCGCGTTGGTGGAGGAACGCGGTCAAGACGCGGTCACGCTGCCAGCAGGAACTTCGGAGACTTCGGAAGGCACACAGTCAGGCACGATGTACAATCTGATCTTATCAACTTATCCGACCCGCCGATCGCGCTCTGAGGCCGAGATCATGTTTGCTTTCGTCCGTCGTCGGTCAAGTCGCTCGATACCATGCATTGCGGACTGCCCAGGTCGCTGTTCTTCTCCGAACCACCATGACGGACATTTACACTCTTCCATGTGGTCAACGTGCTAACTTTGCGACTGGTGCTCGGCTGCTCTCATGCCTGGTGACCGAGTCACTCATCTCGGCGTTTTACGTGCCCGTGAAGGGCTTCCACGACAAGTCTGTAGCGGGTCTTGCAGTTGTTCTCAATGCGCAGGCTTCCTCAAACGCCACAGACCTCTCGAAGGAGCTTTACCGGACTGATATCCTGGCCGCCGTACCTTTGCGCAACGTTCCGATCTTCAAACCCGATGCGAAGCAATCTGAGCGCGGAACGCCTATCGGACTGCTGGACCCGCTAGACATGTATCCCTGCATCTTCACCGTACAGACCTATGACTTCGAAGCCGATACCTCATTGGTACGTTCTGCATAGATGGCATCTTCTCTATCGCTCATAGGAAATATCCGAAGCTTGCAGTGTGGGTTGAGCAGACGCTGTCTGTGCGCTACGGAATGGACATGCAGAATACGAGCGTATGCATGTTGACGGACGCAGTCTCCCTTTGGGATAACTATGCGCGTAACCTTGGGCCGGACGACGAGATGCGTGCAGACGTGGCGGAGGAGCTCGCCAGTTCAGTGCGCTGGCAGACGTACTCTTGGGAGCATCCAGCACGCCCTCCATCATTTGACGACCCCAGCATCGTATGGGAACAATCCATCGTTGAGGGCCATCCGACCCATCCGGTGTGTTGCCTTTAGCGTCCGTCGAATCCGCGCTGACATCTCTCAAAGATGCACAAGACTCGCATGTTCCTTTCCCCCATCCCGGATATACCTCCGGGTGAATATGATCTCTACAACCCTCGCGTACGCCTGGCATCGGTCCCTCGTGCAAGTCTCCACATTACAGGCGACTTTGAGATAGAGCTTGCGCCATTGGTCTCTGCGGCGACGAAAGCGAGCCAGGCGTTCGATCTCCCCGAGGATCGCGTCCTCGTCCCCATACACGAACTACAAGTGCATCACGTTAAGGCAAATTTCCCTGAGGTAGAAGTACTTCCAGAAGACTTCAGCGTTCCTGCCCGAGCGCAGCAGAGCATTCGGTCGATGATTGTTCCGGACGCGCTTGTGTCCACCTCGCTGAAGCTAGGCGTTGGCATCAAGTTGACGTCCGCCGTCCGCACGATCTCGCCAGCTTCAGCGTACCTGGGGCCCCGTTTCTCTGCGCAAGTTGTGCCGGCCTTGTCAATGGATCGCAATATCTTGACTGTCGCTCGCGAGCTTGCCAGCGTCGTCCATACAAACCCGGACGGAGAGATCGCGAAGCACTGCGCCGCAATCATACGCGAGTGTCACGAGAATGGTGCAGAGGAGAGGGGGGAGCGTATGATTGTGTGCACGAGCCTCGTTGAAAAGGGGCATGAGGGCGCGCCGAGGGGCATGCCCAGTGTTGTACGGGTCTTCAATCTCGACACCGAGGAGAAACGGTTGACATGGCTGGAAGAGTGGGTTGACACATCCAACTTGCTCTTCGCCTTCCTTGGCTCATTTCTCCCGTAGATTCTGTACGGTCTTCTTCGCGGCTTTCCTACCTCCCATGTTGCTCAATGGTGTTGGCTTCGAGGCACACCCGCAAAACACTGTGGCGCGTTTCTCTGCCACGGAGCCACGCCGACTACTAGGCTTCATCATCCGCGACTTCGGCGGCATCCGCGTGCACCCGCCTACGCTTCTGGCGAGCACCGGCGTGGAGCTCGATGCGGCACCGAACCATAGCATAATCGCGGAGGATATGGACGACGTGTTTGCGCGCATGTACCATACAGTGGTGCACAATCATCTGCAGCAGCTCATACGCGTATTGGATTTGCACCTCAATGGCAAGGGGTGGGAGGTCGTGCGCACTACCCTGCGCGACGCGATCGAGGCTGTGGATAGCCCCAATAGCCCTGCGTTGGCGAAAGCATGGCTTGGCGAGGACGCCCAGACGGTGCCGGGCAAGTGCTTCATGCGCATGCGGATGGTTGGAGCGTACCGCCACGTGAGTATTCCCAACTATCGTGCGAGCTCTTGATACTCATCACGCTGATGTGCTCATTTTAGCATCTTCATGGTCCCTTCCCCAATCTCTTGCAATATCGCGGCTCGGTAGCGGAAGCTCGACGCGTCGGTTTGTTATCTTGAGGGGTGGGGATCCTGGATAGCCATAGAATCAATAAAATGTTACACGGGATCATACCTGGAGCCCTCACTGAACGAATCGGTCGCGCGTGATACTATACTATCAGAGTTATTCACCGTAACTATACGCAGACATGCTGTACTGTAATAGCCGCGTGCAGTAGCGTCCAGTGTACATGCTTGACTGCGCGTCGCGTGTAAGGACATCAAGCGCCCGGCCGCGTCGCGGACCGGCCGGATGCAGGTTGCCTCTCGCCGCCACACGTCCATCCAACGTCCATCCACTGCCCTCGCTTGATGACAGATATTACAGAGACACAGTGAGCGCTCTGATTCTGAGTGTCTTGAACCTCGATGCTGACTGCTTCCGTGTTTTATAGTGGAGAGCAGCTTGTCAAGCTTGGGGAGAGCTACATTGATCACATAGACCGTGCTATAAATGCTTCGTACATTGCCCAACCGATTTCGGACACCCTTTCCGCCAACATCCGCAAAGACATTGTCTCTCTACACACGATATCCACTCGCCTATCTATTCGCTTGAACTCGTTGAACTCTCCTTTGCTTCGACTGCCGGATGACGTTCTACGCATCGTTATCGACTATCTAGCGTCGACCCACGACAAGGAGCGGACATGGTATTCGATGGCACACGTATGCAACCGGCTTCGCTATACGGTGCTTGGCCTGGCATCCCTTTGGGCAGAAAAAGTCTGTATGTTGCATCGCAAGGGCGCGCTCGAAGAGTTCTTGCGTCGCTCGGCAGACTGTCCCATCCGCCTCGAGGTTCCTCAAGAGGCGATGCCCCTCATGCGACATGATTTCAGTCAACGGTGGCTAGAGCGCGCGTACCTTTTTAAAACAGATCACACTACGCTTGCATGGACCATTTACCAAAAGCCCCTTCCGCTGCTCACCGACGTGGAGCTGAACGTACCGCCGAACGAGACTGCAATATGGGCTCACAGTCAGGACTACTCTCCGATGTCCAGGATTGACGAAGAGAGCCGTTACAAGATCCTTCGAACACACGACCTCTACGCACTTCCAAACCTTCATCGACTGAGTATGACGGCCATATACATCCCAGTCTGTTCAGACTCTTTGACAGAGCTACGGCTCTTTCGCACGTTCAAGCCCGCGGCCTCTTCTCTCCCCACTCTCAAACAACTGCTTTCGTTTCTCCGGCACTGTCCACACCTTGAACATCTCACACTTTGCGGTTGGCTCCCAGTGGTGCCGTCGGATGACACTGGCGACGATGAGGAGGAGGAAGGGCAGATCATGGAGGACCCAGGGCCTACTACCGAGGATGGGAAAGCACAGGATAGTTCTCATCCTATTGAGACCGTTGTTCCCTTCTTACGACTCCGTGTCCTGGAGCTCTGGGGAGACCATCGCCGAACTGCCGCTCTGTGGCCTTACCTGACGATACCGCATACGACAGAAGTCTCTGTGCGGCTGGGATATCTGTATGATGGCGCCAAAGAGATCATCGAATATTCTCGGGATTTGGACAATAGTCATGTACTGGACAGCCTCCACCTTTTCCGCTCTCATCTCGCGGCACAACCAGAGGAGCGTTCGGTGGCGGCACTCTGCATCAGAACCGGGAACCTCTGCGATTCTCGACTTTGCTTCTCATTATACTCGCGCCGAGACGAGCAAATGCCAACCAGCCCACATCGAACCCAAGTCCCCCGCTTGGTTGACGACGGTTCCCACTTTCCCGGATACATCGAGCAGGCCTACACTGCCATCCTTCGCCTCGATATCTGCCAACATTGGTGGAATGACGGCGCCGTCTTGACTGCCCTCGATGGTGTCTACCATACCTTTCGATTGACGGGCATTCATGCGCTCGGACTATTACTCCAGCAGCACATAGTGGAGAATCCCAGCACAATCGGTGTGATCTTCCACAAATTTCCCGCCGTGCACAGACTCGAACTTCTCTACCCTTCCCAGGCGACGGCAATTAATTCACTCAGCCGCCGCTTAGCTATACCCAACACTGAATCCACCGACTCACTCAGCCCTCCGCACTATCTTCCACATCTGAACGAGTTGATACTCGGGGTCAACCCACTCTCCAAGTCACCGAATATCCACTCCACCCTTCTTCACAATTTCGCCAGTTTTGGAGAACACAAGCAGAAGTTTTACGAGGCTCTGATTGCGCTTGCGAAGGCTCGCATGGCTGGCGCGTGCTCATCGCCGCTCGACTGTCTATTCCTTCGCGAAAGCAATGGATCGGAGCCCCATATAGACCCGGTGGTGATTGAAAAGATGCGGCAGTATATTCGCGTAGAGAGTGACCTAGAATGAGGATGTATATGTACTACGTACTACCCTGAACCCAGTTGCCGAATGCACTGCCACAATTTCTGAATGGGCGCTCTATATTTGTAGCCGGTAGACAATGTTGATTTTATCCGAGCTGTATTTGGAAAATGGGTTGCTTGCCGTGGGCTCTGCAGACGATGTAGGCTATCCTAGACGCCAGATAGGTGACGAGATTATTGATCGCAGGTAGTGTCGTCCAACCAGAGACCTCCATCACGCGTCCCACGACAGTCTGAGCCAACGGGCGGGTGGAATCTGCAACCTAGGATATTCTACATTGTTTATAAATCCCACGGCAAGCAACCCAATGTTTGGATAGAGTTTTGAGCGTCGCGAATATCTTGTGAAGGGAAACCAATAGGATCGTGACAGGAATATGTACAGCGCGACATGAGTCTGCCTACGGGAGACTAGGAATATGTGCACCGCCGAAGCAGTACACCACGCGCAAGACTTTCCGCGGACTCGTTAGCCCATCTCGCAGGAGAACACCGCTATCGCCGCCCCCAACCTCCACGGTGGGTCTCTTCTACTGTGCATGCCAACTAGCTTGCACCCTGTCAACATACTCAGACCACGATCTGCGCTGAGAAAATATATTTAGCGTTTGACAAGCGGCGCGCCGCGCGCGTACCACTGCGCCTCGCGTCGCCTAGGAAGATGAACGGCACAAGTCATACCGGCAATCACAATCCCGAGTGAGCAATGCGCTCGCCGTTGATGTACTTAATGACGCCCATAATGCGTCGATGCTGGGATGGCGGTGGTGCGCTCGGAGAACAGGCGGAAAGGGATAGTTGACAGGTCGACAGGTCGACAACAACGGGCGTCGTGAGATCGTCGCGTCGTTGACAACGACAGTCCTAGGACTCAAAGCACGTAGAGCGCTTGGAATAAAGACGAGCCGGAGAGCTAGTGTCAATATACGCAGCAGCTGAAGTCAAAATATCCGACGTTAATAGCCGGAAGATGACGGCTGCAATGTCGACTCGGTAGCGAAGCGACGTTACTCGTTGTATCCGGCTATCATACAAAACAAAGACATGCTCGGAGGCGCATGAGGCTATCCGTATAGAGACTAAGCATATCTCTGTCAAGACACGCCCGACGTGGATGTGACAGCTTCCCTGTCGCGGCGATAAGTGCGCGTGCGTCGGGCTCGGAGTCAGCAGGACGAGATATATTGCATGGAGGGGAGTCTGTCGCGCTCTACTTCAAATGTAGCTATGAGACAGAGATACGCCCATAGCTGAAGCTGGTAGATAATGTTTCCCGCAGATGAGCGTCGCAAGCAAGCGCCAGCGCTCCGCTCCGACGCGTCGCGACGCGACAGCACAACGCGCAACAGGGGCACTCGGCATCCCGGCCCGCACACCACCCAACACCTCGCGCGCATCCTCCCGCAACCGCAGCCTCTCTCCATCCCCGTCCTCGCCGAACAACCTTCCCACATCGTCGTCCCAAGAAGCACGATCCCGCACAATCACAGGCTCTTCTCTGCGCCCCGCCTATCCAAACCAACGCCGATCCTGATGGGGCTCCCAGGCTGCGCAACGTGTTGAACTCTCCGGGCGCGAGGTGGCGATACGTATTGTTCGAAACGGAGAACACTGATGGGTTTCGATGCTGGGTATTTCGGCTCGGCTGGGAGATGCATAATGATAGCTGTACATAGGCGAGAGTGGGCGCTGCGTTGGCGAGCTGCGAGCATATGGTACTGGCCCGGCGTTGTCGATGGCGCGGGCGGTATACCGGAGTTCATCGACATCAGCTGCGTACCCTTAGACTGGTACAGTAGCAGCGGCGCTAAGGTTAGTCTACAACGACAACGGTGGCGCGTATATGAGCGGCGCGCTCCACATGAGACGATTCAACGGAGATGTGCAATGTTTGAACGTTTGAGCGTGGTATTTCATTGCCAGAGCAGGGAATGCGTACGATAAGTACGGGGGAAAGTGAGAGAAGAGAGAAGACGAAGGGTCGGAGCTCGTCATAGGTTAGGAAGGGTGGAGGCGGAAGAGCATCGGGAGTCAAAGAGGATCCAGAGCGGGGAAAGTGTAAAGGAGCGTGGGGGGATGGTGTAGGAACTTGGAAGGCACGATGAGAGGGTTGATTGCGTGGACGAAAAGATGAAGCACGGGTGCAGACGATAAGCAAGCGAGTAAGTAGGGGAGACATACAGAGATAGAGGGCCGGGGTGGAGAGGAGAGGTAGTGAGACTTAGAGGTGATTAGGGTACACGGTCCATAGTTTTGGTACAACAAGCATCAAGCCGGTCGTAAAAGGTCGTGTCGGGTGAGTGAGAGAGAAAAACATAAAACCAAAGCGCTTCACAAGGCATGCAGGCGAAGCCCGATCAAGCCTTGCGGTCGCGAAACGTAGGCTGCCGCAGGGCTGTGCAACCGCAGAGAAGAAGCAGGAGAAGCTCAGAAGCCGGCGTACACTGGCCGTCCGCTGCCGAGATGGGCGGCGGCGTTCTCCTTGCCCGTCGCCTTTCTCCAGAGGCTTCGCAAGCCCTTGCTTGTTCCGCCGCGCGCTGGAGGCCATGCGCCGATGTCGGCCATACTGGGCGTAGGAGTATCGGGCGACCACATCGAGCCCTTGACCGCCGCGGCTGTGGCAGCACGAGTGAACTGAGCGTCGATCCGCGGTGGACTCGGTGCTCGTGGCGGATGGTACTCGAGTCTCGTCAAGTGGCGATGTGAGCTGCCACTTCCGTACTCCTGCACGTCCTCCACTCGAATTTCGAGGGAATCGCGCGAGTCGAATCCCATCAAGCGAGACTCCTCGGCGCACAACGGCCGTACAATGGCGGTGTCGCCCTGCATAGGGGCACGCCAAAGCCCAAGTTCGGGATCAGTCCGAGCAAAGGACGACTTGTAGACCAAACCCCTAGCGCCGTCAGATCGTGCCGTCGCATACGATGATGAAGTGACGTTCGAGTCCATCGAGAGTTTGCGACCTTCGAACGGCGACGACGGGTCGTCGTTCCCAGGCAGCGGTGCGGCAATCACCAGCGGCGACGGATGCCGCGGGCCGGTGGATATGGTGGCGAAGGAGGAAGCGCGCGCACGAGCGGGTACCTGTATCGGTTCGGGCGCTCGTCTGGGCGCTGGAGGCGGCATCGGGCTGTCATCGACGCAGGCGGCCCAGCAGACGGCGGCAAACGCCGACCACGGATCCTCGTCCTCGTCCCAGAGCACCTCGTTCTCCTCCAGGATCTCCGAGTCGTCGTCATAGCACTCCTCCACGGGCGCCTGTTTCGCGAACTCGTAGCCCACGGTGGAGGATGATAGGCGCGCGGTGCTCGCGGGCCCCCACGTACTCGCGCTGTCCTGGCTGTCCTCGTACTCGTACGCAGGCGCCGGTTCCTCGTCCTCTTCTCCGTCGATGAAGAATGATGACACGCTCGAGACTCGCCGAGGTGGCAGTAGCGCTGGACTACGTGGTGTCGAGGGTCCGGCGGAGAGCGATGCCAGGTCCTCATCGTCGTCCTCGTCGTCTGCCCAGATAGACTCGAGGTCGATGTTAAAGGTGTGCGTGCTCGAGCCATCGCTCAACAGCGGGGATACGGGTGATACGGGCGCATGAGCAGCCGTCAATTCAGCCTAACCGTCGAGACCATCAGTGGCGATTCGAATGCATAGAATATAAGAAACATACATGCTTGCGAGCGCGGGCGCGGAGGTCATAAAGAGTATCGACGACGAGGCGGTCGTCAAAGTCGTATCGCGGCGGCTTGTCGTAAAAGGCGGCCATTAGTTAGAAAAAGGGTATGCGCAGGGCGGGCGCTCGGGGGAGCGGATGGGCGTCCTGGGTATATATAAGTTGCATGGCAGGAACGAGGCGCCGCACAGCTCATGAAGCATAACCAGGACTCGAGCCTTTCCCGGAACAGTCACACCGAAGCCGCGCTAACTTTCCCGACAATTATCATCCCCACAATTGCGTGCGCACTTCGAACATCTGCCCAATTGTCCTGATCTCCATTTCTCGAATGTCGCAAAAACTTTTGGGCCCGGTGAGTCCGTGCCGGCCATTGCCAGCACCTGGCGAGCGCCTGGCGAGCGTCTGGTCACTGGGTGACCAGACCCGTGCGTGGTGGCCAGCGGCTCGCCAGCTGGTCGCCAGCCGGTCGCCAGAACATGAGCTGCACGTGGAACGCGCTGATCGCTCTCGCCGAGCGCTCAAGAAAATATCAGAAAATGGTATTTTAATTATTTAAAAATTCCTTCAGAGGTTATGGGCGGGTGAACACCTCTTGCACAGACTCTGGTGACCGTCTGACCACCGTCTGGCCACCAGCTGGCGACCCGGTCGCGATCAGCTGACCGCGTCTGGTCACTGAGTGCCAGAGGCTGCGCACGGTTGACAAGGACTCACCGGGCCCAAAAGTTTTTTGCGACAAACCTCTCCCTTCTTCCTTCGCTGTACGTAGAAGCCCTGTATGGTACTGTACAATGGCCAGCAATCCGAAGTATACGGCGTATCCAGCTGGAGTCGGGCCCCGCAGCGTTCTCAGCCCCTTGCCCGCATGCTCTCCGCAATCTGACTGCATCTGTCTATAAAGTCTTCTCGCTGTCACGCTCCTCGCGACCGGTGAAAATGCAGAACACTGTCCGGACGCGCTTTCGCCGACGATGTTGCCTGGTCGCAGTACGCGATAGCTCGACGCCCATCGCCGCCTTTGACAATGGCGTGCATTCTGGGCGCAAAGGTGCTAAACTCGATAGGACACTCGGTACGCGATTCCACCGGTGTACACACGCGGCCCCGCTAGCGCAACACGCGGCAAGTCTCCATCTCGCCAGCCGAACCCGTGTGGCGCGCCGCGTCCGAACCCGTGTGGCGCGCCGCGTCGCTTGGTCGAGAAGCCAACAACGTCCGAACATTGAGCTATCTGATATCATTCCCATGACTCGCGTCAGCGAATCGGGCATCGACAGCGCCTCCTGCTTCGACGTCGTCTTGTAACAGCATGTAACGCTCAGCAACGAACAGACAGCCGTCCCGCTCGTTGAGTGTTGCGATCTCGGTCCGGCGCGCGCGCCGACGGTGTTCTCAGTTCTGGCATCTGCGCGCCTGCGCCCTGCGGCGGCGCGATCTGGTCCTGGTTCCTATCCATCCCGCCTTCCGCTCTCCCCGGCCCCCGCAATCGAAAAGCCAATCGAGGGCTATCGAGGGGCGTGCGCGGAAGCAAAGCGCCAAGAATGGAAGATGCTCGGTGACATCGCTCTGCGAATCCGCCCGCTCCTAGGCCACTCCATTCGAGCAGCATGCCAGTGTACGACGTACGAAATGACTCGCTACCGCGCTCTTCGATACACTTCGCTGTCTACTACTACGACGAAGACGACGTAAGTAGCTTCTTTCGACCTCCTTCCTCGCTCCTTGGCATCTGAATTCTTTTCATTAAGCCTGTGACAGCTTCCTGACCGACTCGGACGGCATAACGGACGTCGGTACGTACATATAGCAAAAAACTGTCACCCGCGGACTCCCATCAGCTCGCATCTGCACACCGTCACCCCACGCACGTCAAGCTATAGTCTATTTCAGGAATATGCCCAATAGCCTCGCGGCTGCCGCGGCCGGCGATGGTCGAGGGACGGTGGGCGGGCAGGTTCACGCCACGAGGCTAGCTATGGAAATTGGAATGGGCCGCAGCGACTGTGGGCGTTCGTGTTCGGTTTCCCCTTTTGCGATGGGCGAAACGAGCGCGTACGGCGATACGATGATGTTGCAAAGGAACAAAAGATATGTTTGCAGGTCCTGTACATGTCATGATCGCGCCGGGCGGCGACATTGGACAATGAGTGATCGCATGCAAGCCTTGTAGCGAACCTGTGCTGGTTCGGGTTGGGTTCGGGTTTGGGCTTCCGACGCCTGCCCGATGCGCCTCTATCGTGACCGTCGGGTATGCCACACGACGAAACTCAACACATGCCCTCGTCGTAGGTGACAGGAGAGGCCGGTGTGCACCTTCACGCCTCCTCTCAGTCTGGTAGGTTCGTATACGCGAGTACGGCGTTAGAAGACGCTAACACGGCTCACTCAGAGACTCGATTCGGATTGTAGCATACTCAACTGGCTACATGCCCTTCTTCGACTCACAGCCGTACTGTCTACCGGTATGCAAATGGCCAACCCCCCTCCGAATCCGCTCGCCGTGATACGTGTGTTTGGAGACCTCTGCCGTTCTGCGGCCTCGGCTCTGTGTACTAGTCGGCCTATCGAGCCCGGACATGCAGGACTGACATGACTAGGGACGCCACGCCTTTACTTTTCTCCTCCTTTGACAGAGAAGAGAAAAGTACAGACGTACGCCGCCGTCACCGTTCTCCCCCGGCCTCCGCAATACCAGATATTCAGTTCCCATTCACAGCGGCGCGCGCTACTAAGACCAGCGTCATGCACGGTCTGTCAGTCGCCATGGGGCATGTCCTCCCCGCGCGCTCTCGGCGGAGATGAACGACTTCGTAGCTGGAAGAGTACCACGAGTACTGTGGCTGGTATATGGGATGCGCACATCCGGCGAATTGCTCGGCTTGCTGGTGCAAGTTTAGCCATGAGCCGTTCCCTCGACGTGTACGTACAAAGCGCTGTATGGCTTCGCTGTCGCCCGTGTACTGACGTTATACGGAGACAGGCGTCTCTCCGTATACAACGTGTGGTCCTCAACATGTCGCGGCATACGGCTCTGGGCGCCTGTCTCACCGTACGGTGGGAAGTATGCGGGAATCATCGGGCCGTCGTCGTATCTCTTTGCCAGCAGTGAGCCCTTTACATCTCTGCGCTCACATCAATACAACATACAACTGATTATCAAAGCTCTACGCCACTCGAGATGGTCGTTGGACCTGTAAAAGCGTACACACATCCTCGTCGTTCCCACCTATGAGTCCCTTGTTCCCGATCAGGAAGCTCCCGCAGACGCTCAACTACTTACCCAAAGCTGACGCGGCGCTCAAGAAGGCTCCAGCTACTTACTCTAGGTCGAGAGGTCTGGATCTGAGAGCACCAACAGAAGATCAGGAAGATGTAGGCGAAGGCGGAGAAGAAGAAGCAAGAGGCGGGATCGTTGGTTCTGATTATCTGTCCCGCGAAGCCCGCCAACTTGACCGACGAGGCGTAGGGATACGCAGATTGCCCATCGTTTGCCTGGATAGGTCTATGATGAGGCTTCGGTGGTGTAGGCGTCTTCTGGGGGATGCGTCCAGATGAGCATGGACATTGCCTTGCGGTTGGATTGCCGACCCGACGTGTGTAGACTTCACCATGACGCGCAGGATTGTTGCCCCCAGAGGATACCAGTGGTGCCGAAGCTCGCAGGATCATGACGGGATGTACAGGCGTTTCCTTAGCCCCGTCGAGATCCCAGCACGTCGGGACTCAACACAGTTGCAAGAGGGAAGAGGACGACGTAGGCGGAGACCTGGGGCTCCAATGACCTGACGGGTACGAGGCTCGACAGGGCTCGGTCCGAGTCAGCTGATTGATTGGGATACAACGTTACTGTTACACCTTCAAGGAAAGGAATACTTCTCGCATTGTTCCGTTGGATCGCAAATGATAAACCGAGTCCATCGACACGAGCGTCTAAATGTACTCGGCGCGTGACGTCACGCGTCGAGAACAGAAGCCAGCCAGTATTCGCGGAAACCCGCGGAGGAAGTGTTCTACAGGCTCAATTGATCTAGCTTTACATGTATAGCGTCTGGTGCATCGTGTCTAGTGGTGGCAAAACTGAGCGGGCCGTCGTCGAGGGCTGCAGCAGAGTCCACCGTGCTACGCTCCAATATTGATACTTTGAGCGAGACGACGACGACAATGAGCGTAGGGTATATACCCTGCAGAAAGAATGAGCTCTGATAATTCGTAGCAAGGGATACGGACAACACACCGCTATCTGACACATCCAGTAAGTCGACCATTGATACCCGCGCTCGCCCATGACTCGGTCGTGCACGAGCAAGCAAACTATCCAGAGGAGGGTGTACATGACGCCGGTCTCGATCACGATGTACAGTACAGTGACCAAAGACAGCCTTCCGGGAGAGCTTTGACGTGTTCCGGAAAGCTGCCGTATCGCACGACGATGCAACCTAAGGGAGCAGGGTGAGCGAGATGCGCCACAGTAGAGTCGTATGATCCCCCACCAAGCCTTTCGTGCCATGAGTCCTGTGGCGAAGATCTGCGCCAAGGTCGTGGTCGAGAGGGAGAGCGTGGTAAGAGCAATGGGCGCTTTGCCATGGAGGCTCGACCTGAAGTTTACGACGAAAGCGGGAGGTGGTTGCAGATGTATAGTACTGAGCAGAACAATCAACAAGAGATACCCCACTGCACATGATTTGTTAGGAAATAAAGTGCGCGTGCGGATGATTATGGAACGCACCAGATGATAGAAAAATGAGCGCGAAGCAAGTGATCTTGATCCATCTTGGCCTCCCGTAGACGATGTATGCTCTCCATAACGAGACCCAGTCGGATAGATTGAACTGTAGCCAGTTAGCGTCCATTCCTCGACCACATTCAGTGCACCACTCACGATGACTGACTCGGTTATACCGTGGAGGAATAGCAAGTTTGCGGCCACACTCTTGGAGTCGAAGTCGGCCAAAGTCTTACTTCGCGAGGGGTCGGGTGATAGAGCGTCGGGGATGAAATGGTACAGTTCCAGCCATAGAAGACGGATATCCAAGGCCCACATAAGCGTACAAGCAGCATACAGACACACGGAAAGAGCGAAGATCCCTCGGACACGGCGTGTATCCCGCCTGTACGTCGCTTCAGTTTGGCCATTTCAGACGCTCTGATGCTCAAATCGCGTGCGTACCAGTATTGAATGCTGTAGTAGGCCATGAGCACCGTGAAGAACGCTGCAATGACATTCAGGCACTGTCAGGGCACATTTTACTCCGCAGGATTGCCAAACATACCATACAGTACGCTTTCGAGCACGAGCGGGAAGACATGGTAATCGGCAATAGCTTTCACATCGCCCGCGATGCCGTTCAGCCGGTCTACGGTGGCGTTTGAGGCGGCCATCGCACTTGTCGCCTAGAGGAGGGTGGCGCGGCGCGCCCGAGCATCGAACACGCGCGCGGGGCGTCGGCCGCCTTCTTATATAGCGTCGGCGGTCCCGCGGGATATTAGGCTTAGACCGGAGTGGCGAGGCGTGATTGGAGCACGCGCATGGAAACAGGATACGGGCTTCCCTCATCTTGCCTATCGTAGTCGTCTCGCAGTCGCCTCCCATCACTGCTTCGTATACCAGTATCGCATCCGAGGAGACGGGAAATGGAGGGCAAAGAGGCTGTTCCCGGCGAACTTGAAACCTGGAGCTCGCAGCCCGGAATCACTTGTCGGTGTCGGGTTGTCGCAGGCGTCTACCAAACGCGCTCGAGCTGCTATCACCGGAGCCTTAGTTGAAGTTGCAAGGCGAAGATTCTGGATCGTCGGGGAATGAATTTGGGTATCAGGTTCAGGGCACAGACTTATCTAGCCGTCGTCAATCACTGTGTCGCTCGGAGCGTATTTGATAGATGCCGTGCTTCGGCGCAGCCTGTGTTTGTCTGGCCTACTTATAGGACCTACGCTCACCGCGAAGACTAGGTATCTTCACGGTCTGTCGATGCGGTTTGTTGAAGTTGACCACCTCGAGCCAATCTGGCACTCAAAGGCGGCAGCGCGCTAAAGTAACAGCCGTTTCGTGTACTATGACGGTTTGCGTTGCGCAGTGATAAAGTGGGCGAAGCATGGCGTCTGTTATCTAGTGCCCTTGCGCCATCATATTGTACTTATTCTCGTCGATGCTGCAGCTGTATACTGAATCCGATTGGCTTGGGCGTAACTGGTGGCAGAAGGGAGGCTGACGGTCGCGACATAAAGTACTGCGTGAAGTATAGGCGCAAGGCCCAGGTCGTGCGTCGGTTTATAGGGCCGAGTAGTAATCGTTGGTAGATGCGCCGCTCAGCTCTGTGGTTCTGCATGTCTCGCAATGCGCTCCAAGGCAATTGCTACAGGGAGAAGAACTGCGTGGTGACGTGGGGAGTATCCATTTATCCCTGCGCTCATGCCATAGGTACAGTATCTTGATATATATCGGCCCGAGCACGAACATGCAAGTATTACGGATACTATGTACAAGATCAGGTGTTTGCGAACGGACGGAAGGGCATAGGACATACCAAAGAGGAATGTGTTACGCTTGTTTCAATCCAACCCCCGAGAATAGCGCATGAGATTGAGCTCTTAACCAAGCAGTAAAGCCGCCCTTCCTGATCCTCGGATGCGGCATGATCATTCTTCGGAAAGACGCCAGAAGAGATGTCATTGCAGGACGCAGCATGACACCGGCCACACCCCTAGAGCCAATTCAGCGACTTATAGTCCACTATGAACGCAGTTATGAACTCACCAGACCAGGCCTTGCAATAATGGTGCAAGTACTTGATCCTTCGTCGTAAGCCACAGGACTTTGCCCCACTCTACATGTACCACCTCCAGACCACCCTCTGTCCTCTCGATGCGTACATGCTGTCCAACTTTACGCATGTATGTCGGCTCGAAGCGGAGGTCGGGGATGGGCGGGCCGCGGGGACGGGCATGCTCTCGCTCATGGTCATGACGCGCATTGTGTGAGGCCAGGTCGGTGATATAGTCTGAGCGGGAGTATTGCCTGGCCATTGCGGAGAAAATAGAGAGACCAATGGGTGGTGAAGGTAGGAAACACGCTGCACAACGCGCGCTCCATTGTGTCGCGCTCGCCGCGGTGACGCGCGGCGGCGCGGTCCCACGTCTGCATCTTGGCCCGAGCCACCACCATCATCAAATTATTGTAAAACCCCTGCCGCAATGCTAGACCGTACACCGAAGTTGCAAGAGGAAGATTATTCTGGCAAGTTGGTGCAGTGTACCAATCAGCGAAGATGGCTTTGCGACAGCATGGCGCATGGGCGGTGTGGGTACGTAGATGCAATCCGGGTCGCGTAGTAGGTTCCAATAGCTCCAGGGAGTTATTCAAAACCTGGAGGTGTTGGCGTGCTTATCGCACTCCTTTGGAGAGCCAGTACTATCAGTCTTCCTTGTCTCTCGACGGCACTTCTTGGAACCTCCATCTGCCGAATGCTCTCACCCTAGTGGACTCTTCTCCATGGGTAGGCATATGACCTTCAAGCCATGGGAGTCCCAACGACACTCTCCTTTGCTTTCCTACTACCACGCCGGGAAAATCCCAACTGAATTCCATGTCTCTCGCAAAGATTCCCGTCATCCTTGCCGCAACCCCGTCGTGGTGGCAGGCCGTTTCACCGCCACCCGCCGCTCGAACAGCTGAAGCAGCCAAAGGCGAGAAAGCACAACTCTCGACCTTGGAAAAGGGCTTCGGACAGTATGTACCATTTCTATCGAAGGTGTACAAGGTGGGTTCGACATGCACCGCGTATATTTCTGTGACTGAAATCGCACGCACAGGCCGAGCACACCCTCTGTATGATTGCTGAGATCGTCCTTATCCTGGTACACAAGACACGGCGCAGATACCTGCTCCCCTTTATCCTTGCCTCGAAATTGTCACCTCGCACACGCGCTGGGCTTGCTTCTGTAGGCGTCACCCGAGACCTCCTAGTTGGCGCGGCTCTCTGCGTCGCCGGGTCTCTCATTCGCCTCGCTGCGTACAAAGAGATGGGCAAGCTCTTCACTTTCCACCTCACGCTTCGCGAAGAGCATAAGCTCATCACTACTGGACCATACGCACACGTTCGGCATCCGTCATACACGGGATTCTGGATCTTGGCCGCCGGAACGAGCCTGATGACCTTTGGTCGCGGGTCGGTGTTCAGGGAATGTGGGTGGTTGCAGACGACCGCCGGGCGCGCGTTTCTAGCGTGCTATCTGTTTGAGCGCGTCAGTCAGGGTATTCATCTCATACCCCGGGCTCACTACGAAGACGAGTTTTTGAAGGTGCGATTCTTCACATCATCAGTACCCTTCCCAGAGATTGAAGATGCGCACAGAAGCAGTTCGGGGAAGAGTGGGAGGCGTGGGCGAAGAAGACTCCTCAACGGTTCATACCGTACGTGTGGTAGGTACTGGCAGATGATATGTACCTGTGTCATAGTACTTGAAGTGCGATGTACCTCAACCTGTGCCGAAAGGCCAGCCTTGAGTGTTGCTCAACCGTCTTTGAGCACTTCGGATCAATGATCTTGTGAGTCGCGTGCCCCTGCCGATGATGCGCCACAGCCACCCATCACCTTGACCAACGCGACCATCGCCGACAGCACTCGGCGCTTCGTTAGCAGAACCGTATCAAGCAGAATCTATCCTGTATCTGGTGCACATCATGCACTGTCTTCAATTCCAGGTCACCGCGTATGAAGATACGCAAAGGTGGCCGCGCCAAACCTCTGCCAAACCTGAGATCAGTTCCGAGAGACCAGAGATCAAGGGTGACATCGTTCTAGCTGGCGCATCAGGCCGTCCATGCAGCGCAGTCAACAACGCGGGCTGTGCTGCGGCATATGAACTTCAGGGCAGGACCTATAAAGCACGATGTTCATCAGGTAGCCGCCCATTCTTCTTCTCCGCCCACATTCACTATTGCTATTGCTTTCGCACCGCTGCCCTTGCAGTCGCCTTTCTTATTCTCATCTTCGAACGAGTCCATTCTACTTGACCGACATGCGTGCCTCCATCTTCGTCTTCACACTCGCTGCTTTGCTTGCGCCGGTTATGGCTATCCCGCATGTTGCGCGCGAAGAGTCTAGCAGCTCCGCTTCTGGCTCAGCCTCTGTCACCCCCACACCCACTGCATCGGAAGGCGCATCGCAGACGACGAGTCTCACCGGTGCTCAGGCGACAGATGTCCTAGCGTGCGTTGTGCACTCAACAAACTCGCACCGTTTACTGACGACTACCTTCCAGAAACCTCACTCCTGCACAAGAGAGCATCCTCATCAAGAACTTGCTCAACGGCCCCCTTGGATCGGCCGCCTACCCTGGTGCTCCGGCCAACGTATCGGCCAGTGGATGGTAAGCCACACCCTCTCATCCTACTCCACACGATGGCTTATTTTGATGCGTCTAGATTCAATACATGCTCGATGGTGGGGAATGGGACGGTATCGATGAGCGCAGAGCGCCGGTAGTGGAGGACTTGGACAGGTTGTTTGGATCTACACTCGGAGAATATATTCTTGCTTTATCCTGGATGTCCAGTCCAAGAGCCCGCGCTCAGAGTGAACGTTCGAGAATTCGCGTTTGAGATATTTCCAAAGGTCCCTCTGGACCCACATGCGCTTGCAGAGCTGCTCGAACTGTTCACCCCGTGAGAGAAGCCCGCAAATCCATGATGTAGGTAGTGGCAAGTGCGTGCGTAGAAATACAGTTTATTATGCTGATGCTATCAGATTCTCCCAAATCGTCCCAGATGAAACGTCTACTCCTTGACATCGGCGAAGCCGAGGGAGCCCCAGCCAGTCCAGGTTGGCGAGCAGACGCGGAAGTGCGCGGTCTTGTCGATCGCGGAGAGGGCAGCGAGATCTTCGTCAGTCAGGTCGATGATCTTCTTGTTGTCGATGATGCGCTGTGGCGTGACGGACTTGGAGAGAACTGGTGAGAGAGTCAGAGATACATCGTCGCACGGTCGACAGTATGAGCTCACCGTTGACGTTGGGCGTGTTGGCGTGGAAGGAGACAAGGATGTTGGCGGGCGAGACCTTGTACTTCTCAGCAAGGGAAAGTACAACGTCGTTCTTGAGCAGAGGCGAGTTGTCCGAACCGAGCGGAGAGTACGCGGTGATAACGATACCCTTCTCGGCGCAGGCGGCAAGGACGTCATTTTGGAGGCAGGATCTGTTTCGAGTGTTAGGATTTCTGTATTCGGTAGGAAGAAATGATGAACGCACGGGTGACGCTCGATCTGGTTCACTGCAGGTACGACGGTTGCAACCTTAAGAAGCTCCTCGAGGAAGGGAACGGAAACGTTGGAGACACCTGCACGGCCGTCAGCGACCTGTCATTACTGCAAAGCGAATAACGCACCGATCGCCTTGACCTTCTCCGGGTACTTCTTGTAAACCTCCTCCATCTTCTTCCAGGTGTCGATCCAGTTGATCGAGCGGTCGGGGCCGCTGAGCTCCTGGTTCATGGGCGCGGGCCAGTCTAAAGCAAGATCAGTCAACATATCCAGGGGATCTGGCCAGAGAACGCACGCATGAGCCAGAGATCGATGTAGGGCGTGTCGAGCTGCTTGAGCGAGTACTCGAGAGCCTCCTCAACCTTGGCGTGGTCGTTGTTGTTGAGCTTGGTGGTCAGGAAGAACGACTCGCGAGGAACGCCAGAGTCCTTGATACCGCGGCCGACCTCGGCCTCGTTGCCTAAGATATCTCAGCATAGAGCGAAACGCGATATCGAGTGGGACGCGCACCGTAAGCAGTGGCCGTGTCGACGTGCTTGTAGCCGTTCTTGAGAGCGACCTCGACGGCCTTCTCGACCTGTCCGGGCTCGGACTTCCAGGTACCGAGACCGAGAGTCGGCATCTCAGCGCCGGTGTTGAGCTTGGTGACGGTGGAAGCGGGCATGGCGAATAGATGTGTAGGAGTTGGGTGAAAAAAACGTCGAGGTATACGGGGAATGACTTTATACGCGCGCGGTGCGCTCATCGATAAGAAAGCTTGGAATCTCGGGAACATCATAGCTTCCGGTAGAATGGGCAAAGGTGTGACGATGTCTGACGACGGACGGATCGGACCCCAGGGGCAAGCGGATGCACATGCTATGGCATTTTTGTAGCGATCCTATAAGCTGGTTGGTACATTTCATTGAATACGGCCGAGGATAGCCCGGACGGGTGCCTTGTGCTCGGTCCGACTTCCCCGTCAAGCTCTGGGAGCCCACGTCCACAGCGCGAAGAGCGCGATGAACAAGACGACCCCAGCCGCGCAGTGCCGCAACTCGGGGCCCCACATGCGGATGACTGACCCCAGACCGCCGATTCCATAGTCAACGCCACGTCCTTCTGCAAGGCGACGAAGCATGACGGTGTACCATGCCATTCCGACTCCAGCTCCGATGAGTTTTGGCAAGGGGAGGACTCCCAGCAGGTGGCAGATGCGGGAAAGCAGGCTGGCTATCGGGGTATCTGCATACGTCAGTTCTGGAAGATGGGGGAAGATCGCATCCCCAGGCCCGGCGGCAAGCCGGGCAGGAAGATCCGGGGAGAGTACGGCAGCGCGGGCGAGGCCGAGTAAGTCGGCATGCTTCTGCTCGAGAACTTCTTGAAGCATCTCTACGGAACGCAGGCCTCCCGTTAGCATGATCAAAGGTCGACGGCTCTTGGGCGCTCCTCGGACTGCTTCGCGGGCGCGGCGAGAGAAACGGGCGAAGAAGGCTTGCCTGCTGGTAAGCAAGAAATCTGTGGGTAATCTCAGTGGCGTGGATGCAACGGCCAATGCGAAGAACGAACCTGGATTCTCATAGTCACCTCCACTGATCTCGATGAAGTCTACCGTTCCCCAGTGAGCAATCTGCTGGATGTATCCCAGGATGCGATCTTCAGCAACAGCCATATCTGCCTCTCCTGCGATGGAGCCGGCTTCCACGTAGTCGGAGGAACTCAGCTTGACGCCGATAGCGAAACGGTGGGTCACAGATTCACGGATGCCCGTTACTATACGGTAAAGCAGATGAAGCGGATCCCGGTGTAGAGCATATATGTCGTCACGCGTGTTGGTCTTCGCTGATAGAAACTCAGAGAGGAGATCTGGCCCGTCTTGTGCTCAGTAGATGTTGCGTTTTGAGGCAAATCCGAATACACGCACATCCGTGTGCGGCGTGCAATTCAACCCCATCGAAGCCCGCGGCGGCAGCGACTTCGGCTCCGTGAACAAATTGCGCGGCAATTTGGTCAATTTCTCCCGCGGTAAGGGTGCGGGGAGTTGGAAAGAGCGCGCGGTAGAGCAGTCGTGCGAGCCAACCATCCCGTGAGCGTCCCCTCAGGGCAACGGAAGTTGGTGCCACAGCTGGAGAGAATAGGCCACGTCCACCTAGTATGTTGGGGGATTGACGGCCAGCGTGCGATAGCTGCATTATAGCCAGCGTATCCGAGGACGAATGGAGGGCATCTGCGAGGGCAACAAACGGCGCGACATCTCTTTCGTCCAAGGTAGGCGGTACGACCATGTCACGACCAAGAGTAAGATGATCCGACGCGACCTGTACATTCCCAGTACATATCATGCCCCAGCTTCCGCGCGCCCACAGAGCGTATAACGAACAGAGTGTCCTATTTGGAGGTCCACCGGACAACGCAGCGAGGTGCTCATAGGTCGAGGCCTTCACGAGCTTGTTCGGCAAAACCAATCCACAAGGCAGCTCGGTTCGCTCAAGAAATGCTGATCCATGTCTTGCTATCGACATTCAGCACGCTTTCTGAGTGCGAGTCTATGGTTCGGGCAGCCGGGGATCGTGGTGGCCTTGGACAAAGCTTTTCCGACACCGAATAGAAGATATTGATGCCATCAAATTCCCATGATGAGAGCGTCTGAGAGCGCTCGCGGTCTGCGCTCAACGTCCTCATCCTAGTCTTCAGCTACCACGACTACGGCTTATATGCACTTCTGGCAGGCCTGCCAATCTCCCATGTATCGCTATACCATCATGTCTGTGCACTCACGGCGTGTTTACCACCTCACGGACCCATGTGGACCGAGCATTGTATTGCATTAATATCTGGTAGTTGCCGATCGTGATGTGCTGTGCACGGACTTCCGCCAAGCTTGAACACGAGAGCTTCCGCTCAGTTGCAGCAGCAGCGAGGCTGAATTGAAGCTATTTCTGGCTTGCCGCGACGGACAGTACTTAAATCCTCGGAGTTGGAATGAGTAGACGTCGTCAAATCCCTCCGCCCCAATCTTGATGCGTTCTACCTCTGGTCTCGCGGCGCTTTCTGCACTCGCTCTGGTCGAGAGTGCCAACGCGCGCTGCCGGTCACAACCTGGAGATTCTACTTTCCCTACGAGTCAAGACTGGGCGGATTTGAACTCCACAGTCGACGGTCGATTACTAGCAGTAGTGCCCTCCGCAAAAGCCTGCGCAGACATAGGATGCACTCCAGAGCAATGGGCCAGTGCTGTATTCCGGAACACTCTTCCTGGTCAGATGAACGTAGTCAGTATCGCTCTATCGCGTCATATACGTGCACACTCATATACGTTTGCATTTAGTACAATTGGGAGCAGGTACACCGTGTTCAACTATTGTTGCTAAGCGCCTCTGACAGAGAAAAAGAACTACACAGCCAACCCCGCCGAACTCTGTCTCTATAACGACACCAGTTCGTGCTCACAAGGAGACGTCCCGTTGTACGCGATCAACGCTACGGAGCCGGAGCATTTGCAGGTGCGCACTTGACGCTTACTACCGGCTGGCTCTTGGACTGATGCGGCGGGTTACTACAGGCGGGTGTCACTTTTGCTTCACAACATGACCTACGTGTGGCCGTTAAGTCCTCGGGACACGATTATCTCGGCCGGTCGACCGCTCGCAATTCCCTTCTTCTCTGGACGCAATACTTCCAGGACGTCAACTTCACTGAATCATTCACGGTTGGCGACCAAGACAAGGGCAGCGCTGTCACAGTTGGGAGCGGTGTTGGACTAAAGACGATTTACGCCGCTGCGAAGGAGGTCAACAAAACGGTTGTAGGTGGCACGGCCGCAACAGTCAGCGCCGGTGGAGGTTATACGCAGGGCGCAGGGCATTCTGCCTTCAGCCCGCTATACGGTCTCGCCGCCGACAACGTTCTGCGTGAGCACCTCTCCGTTGATCCGGAGAGTTTGTGCTGAAGTTCCTTGACAGAGTACGAGATCGTGCTTGCGAATGGGTCTTTCGTCACCGCCAACGAGGTTTCAAATACGGATCGTGAGTGCACCTTAATCCAACTAAGATGCTCTCAACTCAATGTCTTCATCCAGTATTCTGGGCTCTTCGTGGTGGCGGTGCTGGCAGTTGGGGTGTTATTACTTCCGTCACGATGCAGACGCACCCCGCGTTCACAGTATCTGCGCATAGGGCGAACATACTCTTCAACAGTACGGCCCAAGCGGCGGCAGCGATGACAGTCCACGCCCAACACGTCTTCGACTACGACACGTATCGTGCCGGCCAGTACTTCTTCTTGTACAATCTCGGCGGAGGCGAGAGCTTCCTCCAGACAAGCACGCTTTTTGCCAATGTGTCTGGCGACGACGCACAAGCGGCTGTCGATTCTTTCCTTACGGATATCCAGGTCGTTGGCGCTACGTTGATCAACCAGACGGTGGTGACTGCTCCGGTCAACGATGTCGTCGGCGAAGCCGATGACACTGCCGGCTACAACGGCGTGCTAGGGTCGCGATTGATCCCGGCGGCCCAGTATGAGCAGAACCCCTCAGTAATTGGGGCAGCATACAAGACATTACTTGACAACGGAGTAAACAGGTGTGTGATCTATTCCGTCGCCACCCCTCGCTTGCGCTGATCCCCTACTCTCAGTATTCTTGGCCATATTGTTGCTGGCGGTGAGTCGTAGACTCGTGCATCGCGTTGACAGGAGAGCTCACACTTTACAGGCAAAGTTGCTGAAAACGCCAACATCAGCTCGGCGATCCTTCCCAAGTGGCGTACCGCAAAGACTCACGTGTGTCATCAGAGACTCAGTTGCCTTTCGCAATACCTGACAACACCTCATAGGTCATCGCAACAACGTCCTGGAACGACACTCTGTCCCCCAGCGAGGCCATCGCGTTTCAAGAGAGCTTCTTCTCGCAAAACGTGCCGGTATTAGCCGCCGCCACTGGCGAGGACGACAGCGGTGCGTACTCGAACGAGGACAACGTTCTGGAACTAGACTTCAAGACCACCTTCTTCGGGCCGAACTATGATAGGCTGCTATCTGTTAAGGCGGAGTACGATCCTAACGACCTATTTATCGTGCGTGCTGGAGTCGGTAGCGAACGATGGGACATTTCTGGCATGTGCACCCTGTAGTCTTTCTTTAGGGTTTCTCTTCCCGGTCTGCAGGAATAGACTGTCTGTCATACATCCACATATCAATAATTTGGCAATTACGTGTGAATATATCGGTCCGAAGCCGCTGGGCACTGAGCTCGCGTCGAGCTGGCGCTCCGCCTGGGTGCGTCGGCGCGTCGGCGTTGACCACATCGGGCAGGTATATATATGTCCCGAGTTGTGCCCAATCAGGGCCATTGCATGAGTATATTGGGAAAACACCACCGCAAAAAGAGGTATCTACCAGAATAATTCATCGTGAGATCCTGACATCTCGGCCCGAGCTTCCACGGCGCGCGGCACGGCTGCGCTCATGCCCGTTTCTCCTCTGACCGTCGTCCCGCCGGCATCTCAGCATTGGTTTACCTTGAGCCATACTTGTTACATCGTCTTCTTCACTTCGTCGTCAATTTGTACGGTAATTGAAGCATAACTATCCGTTCGAACTTCCGAAAACTCTCCCGCCAACCGCGAAACCTACACCGTTACGACGACTAGTGTTGTCGCAGTATCTGGACAGCCTCAGTCCCACCGGTCCTCTAAGACCTGCATGCTACCAGCGCTGCGCAACTTGTCTCGTGCCGTTGAGTCCAAGGCTGAGAAGCTCAAGTGTCTGCTTGATCAGAGCTATGTTGGGTGTCGTCGCGACGTCGCCTGTGCTGGTAGTACGGCATCTTGAGTAGTTCCATGGATACAACCACAACACTGTATTGCAGGCAATTATGGTTGCTTTGATAAGGATGTAGGCTGTGCACGGGTTTCCGGATAACTCGGGATTACCCACTCAGGCTGTCGGCGCTCACAGTGCAAGCCGTGTCAAGGTCATTACAGGCTCTCCGCTACATGAGCTACATAACAATGCAACTCAAGGTGAAGGAGGTGGCGAACATTCTCCTTTCATTGCTTACTCATGTTAGTTTTAGGTCTTGCAGCCTTGTCTCTCTTCACGCTAGCCGACGCTGTTGTCGCTCGCTGTCGATCCCAACCTGACGACTCTCGCTTCCCGGAAGTTCAAGCGTGGGCGGATCTGAACTCTACGGTCGGTGGTCGATTGATAGCGGTAGTACCCTCTGCGAAAGTATGCGCAGACATAGGCTACACGCCTGCTCAGTGGTCGAGCGCCGTGTTCCGGAACACTCTTCCAGGACAGATGAACGCAGTCAGTGTTGCTTGCTCATTCTCCACTATGTCCGTGAACTGACATTCGTCCCCAGTATAATTGGGAACAGGTACATGAAGCTCACCTCCTTTTTCCAAGTCGCACTAATGTTGTCGAAGGATTACACGTCGAATCCTGCCGAACTTTGCGTCTACAACGACACCAGTTCATGCTTGCAGGGTGATGTGCCGCTCTACGCCATCAACGCCACCAAGCTAGAGCACTTGCAGGTCCAGTTCCCTCTTTTGTTGTATGCGAGTGCTCACACTGACATAGTGAGCTTAGGCGAGTGTCTCCTTTGTTTCGCAATACGACCTTCGTGTGGCCGTCAAGTCCTCGGGACACGATTATCTCGGCCGGTCGACGGCTCGCAACTCCCTCCTCCTGTGGACGCAATACCTCCAAGATGTTAACTTCACTGACTCCTTCATTGTCGGCGGTCAGGATAAGGGTAGCGCTGTGACGGTAGGGAGCGGTGTGGGACTGAAGGCCATCTACGCTGCCGCGAAGGAGGTCGGCAAGATGATCGTTGGGGGAACAGCCGCCACTGTGAGCGCTGGCGGAGGCTATACACAAGGCGCAGGACATTCTGCCTTCAGCCCCATCTACGGTCTCGCCGCCGACAACACACTGCGTGAGTTTGACTTGCTCGTCTTATTCTCAAGTATCAAGCGTGCTGAAGACTGTTCACAGAATACGAGATTGTGCTGGCTAATGGATCCTTTGTGACGGCCAATGAGGTCACGAACACTGATCGTGAGTGCTCCTCGTTGAGATCTCACAGCCCTGCTCATGCAGGATATCAGTATTCTGGGCTCTTCGCGGCGGCGGCGCTGGTAGCTGGGGCGTCATCACGTCGATCACCATGCAGACACACCCCATCTTCAATGCAAGCGCGCACGTAGCGAACATCCTCTTCAACAGCACGAGTCAGGCTGCAGCTGCGATGACGGTGCACGCGCAACATATATTCGACCTCGATGCGCTTCGTGCGGGCCAGTACTTCTTCGTGTACAATCTTGATGGGGGCGAGAGCCTGCTTCAGATGAGCACGCTCTTTGCCAACATCTCGGGCGATGATGCACAGGCGGCAATCGCACCATCCCTTGCGGACGTTCAAGCTGTCGGCGCTTCCATTCTCAATCAGACTGTGGTGACCGCTCTCGTCAACGATATCGTGGGCGAAGCCGATGATAACGCCGGCTTCAACAATGTACTGGTATCTCGATTAATCCCAGCGACGCAGTATGAGCACAACCCCTCGGTGATCGGCGCTGCGTACAAGACTCTACTTGAGCAGGGAGTGAACCAGTATGTTGTCTTCAGGCCGGTCTTCACATTCAGCTAACTGGAGTCTTCCGCAGTGTACTTGGTCATCTTGTTGCCGGTGGTAAGTTGGATGCTTATACACCACAATGCGCACAAATCTTACGAGACGTAGGCAAAGTGACTGAGAACGCGAATATCAGCTCGGCGATCCTCCCGAAATGGCGTACGGCAAAAACTCACGTACGTCTACCGGACGCCGCGCCGCTCGTGCAGTCCATGACGATGTTATGCAGGTTATCGCGAGTACGACCTGGAACGACACTGTGTCGGCGAGTGACGCCGTAGAGCTACAACAGCGCTTCTTTTCGCAGAATGTCCCTGTTCTTGCTGCGGCCACTGGCGAGGACGATAGCGGCGCGTACTCGAACGAGGCGAACGTTCTGGAGCCAGACTTCAAGACCACATTCTTCGGGCCGAACTACGATCGCTTGTCATCCATCAAGGCGCAGTACGATTCGAAAGACCTGTTCATCGTACGCGCTGGAGTTGGCAGTGAGAGATGGGACGTCTCTGGCATGTGCACGGTGTAGTTTCGCAAATCAAGTTGTGGTCGAGTCGAGTGCTACAGTAGACTTGATCTTATCAACCTGCTCATAAGATGTCCTCTCATGTTACTGCTTTTGTTAGAGCCATACTTACAGAGATCACCGGTCCCGTCGTCGCTCATGATCGCCGTCCATCACCGTTCATCGAGAGCAGATCGAGCGTGAGCTTCGGCACGGCGAGCGAGGTGGGCGCCTATTCGCGCGGCGCACCCACGCTCTGCTGCGTTAATGACGTGCACTTTCCCGTCACGCCTTCGACGATCCACCTGTTCCCGATGCTTCCAACACGTGCGGCGGCGTGCCACTCAAATCATAGACCTATAAAGGGCTGCGCGTGCCACAGCTAGTCGAGCCAGCTTCTCTATTGCCTGCCTACCTCTACAGCTGACACTCGATCACTATGGCTGATAAGATTCTCTCTGGTCTCTCCGCCAATGCAATCTTCAACCTCGAGGGCGTTGTTGCCGTCGTCACAGGTGGTGGTACCGTACGGCGCACTCGGCAGTCACCTGCACTGCAGCGATTGAAGGTTTGGCTAGGGTATCGGACTCATGATCGCTACAACCTTGATCACGAACGGTGCGAAAGTATACATCGTTGGCCCGAAGCAAGCCGATCTGGATCGGTGAGTAGCTCTTCCAATACAGCCCATTGCGCATACTAGAAGGGTGTATGTTCAGGACTGCTGTATTGTACAACGAGGGTGCCGAGAAGCTAGGCGCGAAAGGGCGTCTCATCGGTCTTGAGGGCGATGTACGCAAGAAGGTACGAGCGTTCTGGAGCTTGCGCTGAAATACTCATTCACGCCTTCTTCTCCAGTCTGAAGCTACTAGGTTGGCCAATGAGATCGGTTCACACGAGCCAAATGGCATCACGGTACTGTTCAACAACGCGGGTAAGTACAAGACGTGGTCTACGCCTTCACACATGAAGCTCACCGGCGCTAGGTATTCACCGCGGCAAGTTTCAAAAGCCAACCGAGGCCACCGCCGACGCCTTCGTCAAAGCCTACTTCGACCCTGTGTCGCAGGAGGACTTTGACGACTCTATGAACGTGAATGCAGTCGGCCCATACTGGCTAACCTTCGCTTTCCTGCCGCTACTCGAAAAGTGGAAGAAGAGCCCAGGAAGTTCGAAGTTCGTACCGCAGATCATCATGACCAGCAGCATGAACGGCTGGACCAAGGATCCTGCAACCTCGGGCAACACGTTCCCGTACATGTACTCGAAGTCGGCGATCGGACATGCGACTTCAAGTCTAGCGCACGAACTTTTGCCGTTGGGTATTCGCGTCAACGGGATTGCGCCAGGGCTCTTCCCTTCGAACGTATGTCTCCGTCCGCATTCCTCCTGCGTTTCATCGACTGATGCACATCCTCGAATAGATGTCCAAGCCTGGAGAAGCCGACGAGTTCGGCCAGGTTGTTATTGGGGAAGACTTTGAGACCGGCTTCGCGAGCCCTGCAAATCGTGGCGGAGGGTCGAGGCGTGATATGGGTTCCCTTGCGCTCATGTTGATCGCGAACTGGTTTATCAACGGGGAGACCGTACTCATTGATGGAGGGGTAAGTATCTTTGCGCCGTCAATACGAAATATCCAAGCTCATCGCAAATGCAGTGCTTACTCGTACACCCATCTTCGTACTGAGCTGGCTGTGGAGAGTAGTGATTAGTATCTAAGCGACCCGGCATGTATGGGCAGTCTGTTTCACTCGGAGTCCAGGGTAGAATGTATTCGTTTTTGCACATCCGGGCCAGCCGGCCGTCAACAAGTGTATCGTACACGAATGTTCATGACATATCGACATCAAGCCAAAGAAACTGCCACGGCGGCACCTCCAACCATCAACAGATATACCGTCCATCCAAGACGGATATATGACACCGCCCCGCTACCGGCTGTAGTTGCGCTCGCCGGCGCTACACTCCTGGACGGAACGAATTGGGAGGAGCTGGAGGCGGGATCGGTGGTGACGGTGACAATCACTAGGGGTGCTCCGGATGATGTTGATGTGGTTGTCACTACCTCGGAAGTCGTCGCGGGAGTCGAGGTGGACACGGCGGATGTGGTGGCTGAAGAGGCCGATGAATCCGTCGTGTTCGCGGACGTGGAAGAAGTAGATAACGCCGTGCTTGCACTGGCGCTGCCCGAGGCAGATGGATCGCTAGTCGCTGACTGCGCAGAAGTGGTGGAAGGAGCGGCTGTCGAAGCTACAGGTGTAGAGATGGATGATGCCAAAGACGCGCTGGTGGTGACGGGCGGCAATATGCCGGACAGCGACGACAGGATCGGGATGGAGAAGGAGAGTGCAGGCGTCGAAGCTGCCGTTGTAACGTCCGAGGCCCCGCCTAGCTGCCGATGTTCGTGCACCAGCCGTTCGGGTGCGGCTGAATAAGGTTGAGTTCGAATGTTCATCGGCTGAGACACACGATATAAATATTCACCTGCGGCCAAAACAGAGCCAAGCGAGCAAAGTACGAGTGAAGCCTTCATCCCGACGTGATGGCAGTTGGTTGGAAAGGAAGAGTCCGTTGCAGCATCGACGGAGCGCCTGCTAAATCAAGCTTCGGAGACATTGGCCGGCTCCAAAACATCAACCATATGATCGCTATGAGCGTGAGCACCACCCTCGTCGCGAACGCGCGGGCATACTGGCACACGAGTGGTGACTTTTCGCCGATGCATGCGCTCTACTTGTACCATGACGAGTAGTGAGCCTCTATCCCTCACACCAAATCGGTAGTCATCCTATGCATTGTTGCTTATGGCTTGGAAGATCATCACGCGTGATGGAAGGCGGGTGGAAGCAAGAGGCAAGCTAGAACGGGCGCGTCCTTCGATTCAGCCGCGGGCACTCTCACTGTACTCCCACCCAGGCCTTCACTAGGGAGCTGCCTTCGCCGGCCTGGCCGTGTATGACATATACACTGACTCGTACCGGAACATCGATTGGCGCCTGTGCGCAATTACGACCATTGACGAGAACCACGATCTGACTTGTTGTCTCCGTATCGCTGGAGTGAAACCAAGATGTCTACGCCACCTTCTCCGACGCCACCTGGGCTATCACGCCTGTTCTACTCGTTTACCCGTGCACTATCATTGTCCCCCACATCTCCGAAAGGCGAGAAACTGGCCGTACAACCACTAGACTTCGATGCGGGCATCAATACATCCAATGCTTGGACAGAGCACCAGCGGGAGAGCATGACGCTCGCGACCAGCCCACAGGAATCACCATCTCTATCGGATGATGAACCGGACGAGGAGGAGGTAGAGCCGGAGGACATCGACGGTCGTGCCGCGCGAGTACTGCACGACTTCGAGGGGAAGCCGGAGTTTCGCGAGCTCAGTGCTTCTGCTGGGGACGAGATCGAGATCATGCGGCTGGACGTAGGAGAGGGCTGGAGTCTCGTAAGGAATATGGAAGGGGAGATGGGCTTGCTACCGCAGTCGTACTATAAGGTGAAGTGCCCCTATTCGCCAACAGTAATCTAAGCGCCTGTTCGGTTCATATGTTCCATGTCCGTGGCGCTTAACTCTGCCGTCACCTTCCATGCATCCTGTTTGACACCGAACGCTGACCCGACATCCCAGATAGTCGTGGATTTTGTTGCGGAACCTCCAGACGCCCCTCATACTACCAGCCGTTTCAAGAAGCGTGAAGCCTCGACCAATTCCCTCACACCGCGTAACTCTCCAAAACGAGATGCGCTCGTGGTCCCAGATGACGATGGGCCGATCGTTATGCAGACTACTGGAGAACGCATGCTGGCTTCACTGCCCAGCTTCCGACAGAGCTTACTGGGTGGAAAGAGCCTAAACCGCTTCAGTAGCTTCGTGACGAGCGGCGCTGAAGACTATGTGCTCAAGGGACCGCCTGCATCGGAAATAGTCGTCCCCACAATTGTCCACGAGCGCGTCTCTAGCACAGACAGCGATATCATCGAGGAGGAAGAGGAGGAAGAGCCCGAAGCCAGCGGATCGACGCCACGCAGGGTTAGTGAAGCAGACAGACACTTCGTCGATGCCGGTCCAAGCTGGCGAGCCAAAGTTCCGCCGTTTCGTATCATGGTACACTCGCCATCAAAACGCGCATCTATGCTGTCCGGCTCGTTCACTGTCTACAGCGTCACATCGCTCTTCCATCTTCCGAAGTCCGAAGCAGAGGATGCCGACGGATCAGATGCGGACGAGGAGGCTCACGCTACACGAATAACCGTCCATAGGCGGTTCTCGCACTTCGTCGTACTACATACCGCGCTGACGCGTAGGCTGCCTGGGATCGCACTCCCACCACTACCTGAGAAACAATACGCGGGCCGTTTCAACGACGACTTCGTAGAAGCACGCCGGGGGGATCTTGAGCGATACCTGCAGAAGGTCGTGCGACATCCCGTAGCACGGTACGCTGAGATCTTGACGTTCTTCCTCGGATGTGAGAGCGATACGGTAAGCTCGTGACGCCCGTCATATGCCGCTCATACTCAACCTACTTGCAGGAATGGAAACGTCAACTTCCGCGCCACTTGGCCCTACCGCCCGCGGGACCCACATTCTACGCCAACGTATTCCATCCTGAGTTCAATGTCGACGCGGACGAAGCAGGCGATGTCGTCTATCGATTTGAAGCCCACATTAAGGCAGTAGGGAAGGGAGTTCAGGGACTTCGATCTGTGTTTGGGCAGACGCGTCAAGCACGAACGGGTGAGCCATTCATTATATCTGTCATCGAGCCGTTACTAACACTGCTACAGAGATGTCCAAAGCGGAAAGGCTTCTATCTTACTCCCTGTTCTCGCTTGTGACCGGGAAACAGTTGGCCATGACCCATGCTGAAGATGTAGAGTCCGATGAGGAGGAGGAACCCGACGACCCTATCGAAGCCGCGAAACGACGTGCACGAAAGGGCAAGAGTGTCGTGAACCAGGCAGGAGCCTGGTGCTGGAAGGATAACTGCCAACGTGCGCGCATCAGTTCGCTGTCCGCATACGCCACTGACGCGCAGTTACAGAATGCTTAAAGCTGACGAAGGCCCTGGTCAAGACAGGCGAAACGCTTCAGAGCGTTGCAGACCTATACGATGACCACGCACGGAGAACCCAATTGCATACCCACGACATGCTGAAGACGGTTGCACACCCATCACCCATCTATGCACCCGTCATCGATACCCATAAGAACGCCCTCAGACGCTACGCAGAGTCCGCCCGCGGCACTGACGCGAAGGACGAGCAAGTTGCCGCGCGTTGCGAGACAGTGCTCAATACGACTATGGCCGAGATCGAGACGTACCACACTCAAAAGGTGGAAGACTTCTCGAACGTCGCCAAGGAGCACCTCGACGGCGAGATTGACTTCTACGAGCAGGTCCTTGTTCGTCTACGAACGGCGCGGAGCACATTTGAAGAGCCAACATACGATCAGCTCGGCGTTGGCGCGAGGCAACCGTCGATCTACGAGCGCGAGCTAGAGGCACCGCGGTTAGAGCCCGAGCCATTACCGCAGCCGTGTCCGCATGTGTATGACTCAACACCGATGCGGCCTGTCAGCCATGCCATACAGAAAGGAGTGAGCTTGCTGCTTGGCAATGGGCCGGGTCGCGCGAGCGTGTTTGGGCCGTTCTGGTGATTCGCCCCCTAGGATCTGCGGTCTGTAAGAGAACGCATATTCACGTACCTGTATACCCTATCATATCACACTCACGGACTAGTACGATACACATACACGACTCACGATCATTCATTATGGAGATACTGCTTGATACCTCATGACTCTTGATGTCTATCTCATCGTCGGCGCAAGGTGCGGTCCCGCCAATCCAACACGGTCTTGCAGTCTTGGACTCGCTACGTGCGACACTCTGAGTGTCAAATACCATCGCATTAGGTAAGGTCAAAGTATGATATATAGTCCGCAGTACAAGGCATATCGGTGCCTGGTTTATGCCAACTTGTACCAGGAGATCTACAGAGTGCACATGCCAGAGATGTCCCAACGCTCACTACCAACTCCCGCGCGCACGATGAACAAGTCCTCCGGGTCGTACTGCGCCTTGATAGCAGATAGGCGGTCGTAGTTGGGACCGTAAAATGTGGTCTTGAAGTCGGGTTCCAGAACGTTCGCCTCGTTGGAGTACGAACCGCTGTCGCCCTCTCCGGTAGCCGCAGCGAGAACGGGGACGTTCTGCGCAAAGAAGCGCTCTTGCAACTCCACGACATCACTGGGAGACGTGGTGTCGTTCCAATTCATAGCGGCGATCACCTGTATGTCTTGGTCAGGGACTAAAAAGAAAAGGAAGTGGTAGCTGGTGCGCATACATGGGTCTTCGCGGTGCGCCATTTGGGCGTGATGGCCGAGCTGATGTCCGCGTTCTCCAAGACTTTGCCTGCAGCAAGTCAAGTCAGCGCCCAATACAGTATAACAGTCCACCACTCACCGCCAGCAACGAGATGACCAAGTACGCTACAAGAGACCCGTTTCAGTGCATAGCAGAGATTGCAGGAGAATGGATATCGTACCCTGCAACTCCTTGATCGAGTAAGGTCTTGTAGGCGGCGCCAATCACGGAGGGATTTTGCTCATACTGAGCCGCTGGCATCAGCCGCGATCCCAGCACGCCGCTGTAGCCGGCGCTATCATCGGCTGCGCCGACGATATCGTTGACCAGAGCAGTCACCACCGTCTCGTTGACGAGCGTTGCGCCAACCGCCTGGACGTCCGCAAGGAAAGGTGCGAGAGCCGCTTGCGCATCGTCGCCGGAGACATTGGCGAAGAGAGTGCTAACCTGGAGCAGACTCTCGCCTCCGCCGATGTTATACACGTAGAAGTATTGGCCTGCCCGGAGCTCGTCATAGTCGAAGATGTGTTGCGCATGGACAGTCATGGCCGCAGCGGCTTGGCTCGTACTGCTGAAGAGAATGTTTGCCCTGTGTGCGGTTGCATTGAATATACTGTGTGTTTGCATGGTGGCGGAGGTGATGACACCCCAGCTACCAGCACCACCGCCACGAAGAGCCCAGAACACTGTACAAGGGACGTTAGCCGCATATATCGCATGATCAGTAGGGGTGCTCACGATCCGAGTTTAAAACCTCATTGGCGGTGACGAATGACCCGTTGGCAAGGACAATCTCGTATTCTGAAAGCAAGCGTCATTACAAGCCACCTGACCAGCGGGACGGTGCTTACGCAGAGTATTGTCAGCGGCTAGACCGTAGATAGGACTGAAGGCGGAATGGCCAGCGCCTTGAGTGTAACCTCCTCCGGCGCTTACAGTGGCAGCTGTGCCGCCAACAACCATCTTGCCGACCTCCTTCGTAGCGGCGTAGATGGTCTTCAGTCCCACGCCACTACCAATGGTCACAGCGCTACCCTTATCCTGGCCGCCGACCATGAAGGAGTCAGTGAACTCGACGTCTTGCAAGTATTGCGTCCACAAAAGGAGGGAGTTGCGAGCCGTCGACCGGCCAAGGTAATCATGCCCCGAGGACTTGACAGCAACACGAAGGTCGTACTGGGAAGCGAACAGGACGCCTGCCTAGAGAAGCAGACAGCATGAGATCGAGCGCTGTTTGATACTACTGGATACTATCGTACCTGCAGATGCTCTGGCTTCGTGGCGTTGATTGCGTAGAGAGGAACATCACCCTGCGAGCACGAGCTAGTGTCGTTGTATAAGCAAAGTTCGGCGGGTTTCGATGTGTAGTTCTTTGATAACGTAAGTGCAGATCAGTAGAACGAGCTTCGGTCTATGTACCTGTTCCCAATTATACTAGGGACGGGAGTCAGCCCACAGACGGCGCAGAAACTGGCAAACAATACTGACCGTGTTCATCTGTCCTGGAAGAGTGTTCCTGAACACGGCGCTGGACCACTGAGCAGGTGTGCAGCCCATGTCTGCGCATGCTTTCGCAGAGGGTACCACCGCCAGCAATCGACCGTCAACTGTGGAGTTTAGATCTGCCCAAGCTTGAGCTTTCGGGAAGCGAGAGTCGCCAGGTTGGGATCGACAGCGAGCGTCTACACCTTCGTGTACAGTGAGTGTCCAGAGCGCTGCGAGGCCTAATATCGAGAGCATAGAATGTGTTGGGATGAGCTATCGACAATGTCCACCATGAGTTTCAACTTTATAGTGTTCCTCGAGGAGAGCGGAACATAGCCACGAGACGGACTTTACTCCGTCACAAACGATCCCGACTGGCGCTGGTGGTTTCAAGCCTCCCGGAAGTCCGTGTTCAACTTGCAAGCCGATCATGGCGACCGAGTAACACATCGACTAGAGACAATGTCAAGATCCATATTGGCGCGTGATGCTGCACTGCTAGAGCGCCCGTCGAGCGAGTGCCCCGAAAGGAATCGCGCGAGCTGTACACCCACAGAGAGAGAGAAGAAGGACTCCGCGTCGGATACACAGCGAGCTCGCTCCAGTGAGGTCAACGTATGTGTTGTGTGCTTTGATTTCACTCTTCAGCTGAGCAGAGCAGAGATGGTGGCGAGATGCGATTCAGGCGAAGAAGGTTTCGGTCCGCTTGAACGGCTCTCACGCAACGGCCGATGCCGAATGTCTACGCGCGTTTCGTATCATCCCGCCAGTGAAATCGCCCACAGCAATAAATTTAATGTATGCGTGCAGGAAGAATGAGACAGACGTTAAGGAAACGGATAGTATACGCGGACATGGACCTCTATAATCAGATCGTACACATGCCAGACTCTACATCCCAGCGCTCACTGCCGACTCCGGCGCGCACGATGAACAGATCATCGGGGTCGTATCGTGCCTTGATAGAGAGCAACCGGTCGTAGTTAGGCCCAAAGAAGGTAGTCTTGAAGTCCGGTTCCAAGACGTTGTCCTCGTTCGAGTACGCACCGCTGTCGTCCTCTCCAGTGGCCGCGGCAAGGACAGGCACATTCTGTGAGAAGAAGCGCTCTTGGAGAGCGACAGCATCGCTCGGAGACACCGTATCATTCCAGGTCGCGGGTAGTATAATCTATGGAGTATCGTTAGAGACGGTGAGCGAGAAGTAGCACCTAAGACGTACGTGGGTCTTTGCAGTCCGCCACTTGGGAAGGATCGCAGAGCTGATGTTGGCGTTCTCAGCAACCTTACCTGCGGCTTATCAGATGCATGTTTACCGCAGTATGCGAGGTCATTACTTACCGCCGGCCACGAGGTTCCCAAGGATACTGTGAGTGAATAGTGACGTCAGCTCATGAGCAAGATGGCCGTCGGAGCAAACAACGTACGCTAAGATACCTTGGTCGAGCAGGGTCTTGTACGCAGCGCCAATTGCCGAGGTATTCTGCCGGTACTGGGTCTCCGGGATCAGCCGCGAAGCAAGTACGATGTTATATCCGCCTGTGTCGTCGGAGTTGGCGACGATATCGTTGGCTACGACAGTCTCGACCGTCTGGTTGATGAGAGTGGCACCAATTGCCTGGACATCTGTGATGAAAGGCGCGACGGCGGTTTGTGCCTCATCGCCGGAGACGTTGGCAAAGTAGGTGCGCAGCCAAAGTATGCTCTCCTGTCCAGCAACACCCGTGTTATACAAGTTGAAATACTGGCCAGCACGGTAGACGTCAAGATCGAAGATATGTTGTGCGTGGATCGTCATTGCCTCAGCGGCCTGATTCGTGCTGTTGAAGGTGATATAGGCGGAGTGCAATGTCGCTGGGAACGCCGGGTACGTCCGCATAGTGATAGAGGTGATAACACCCCAGCTGCCAGCACCGCCACCGCGAAGAGCCCAGAACACTACACATGTGATGATCGAATGTGCACTGCCAAAACTCGAGGAAAGGGACTTACGATTGGCATTTGACACTTCATTGGCAGTGACGAACGATCCATTGGCAAGGACGATCTCATATTCTGAAAGTGACTGTCATCACGAGGCTTTGGGAAGCAATTGGGCTTCACTCACGCAAGGTATTATCAGCCGCGAGACCATACACGGGACTGAACACAGAGTGCCCTGCACCCTGCGTATAACCGCCGCCAGCGCTCACAGTGGCGGCCGAACCGGCCACGATCATCTTGTCGACGGCTTTCCCAGCCTGATATAGAGCCTGCAGGTTGACACCGCTTCCAACCGTCACCACGCTGCCTTTATCCTCGTCACCAACGGTGAAAGAATTGGCGAACTCGATGTCGCGGAAGTACTGCGTCCACAGGAGAAGAGAATCGCGAGCCGTCGACCGACCGAGGTAATCATGACCCGAGGATTTGACGGCCACACGTATGTCGTGTTGAGATGCAAATAAGACGCCAGCCTGGAAACGTGCGCGGTGTAGGCATTAGTGTAGTCTAATGCTTGCAAATCAAACCCCAGGCATACCTGGAGGTGTTGCGGACTCGTAGCGTTGATCGCATATACCGGGACATTGCCTTGCGAGCATGAGCTAGTCTCGTTGTAAAGACAGAGCTCGGGGGGACTCGAAGTATAGTTCTTTCGCTCAGTGTTAGAGCGACTTTGTATGCAAGTGTCATGCACATACCTGTTCCCATTGGTACTGAACGCAGAGATGTAAGTTCGATGATGAAGGGCGGCCTAATGAAGTGATCACTGACATTGGTCATCTGTCCTGGCAGAGCATCCCGGTAGAAGGCGCTTGACCACTGTTCCGGCGTACATCCTACGTCAACGCAAGCCTTCGCTGAAGGTACAACGGCCAACAGCCGGCCTTCCACAGTCTCGTTCAACGTCGCCCAGTCTTGCGCCGCAGGGAATCCGGGCTGGCCAGGTTGCGATCGACAACGAGCGTTCACTCCATGGAGAAGGAGCGCAGAGAGCGTGAAGCTAAGTGTTATCAGCATGGTGAGCCTGACGATGTGCGAGAGGACGGAGCGACGAGTTGACGACGCCGTCCATTACAGAGTTGGGGGTTATATAGCGGGTAGCCAGCATCACTTCGATACGGCTATGCCTAGAAAGAGGACTTATAGGCGCTGACGAAAGCAATCTGACTACAAGAGTTCATCAGGTCGCCACCGTAATTCGGGTAAAACTCCAGTTGAAATGAGCTTTCCGTGCACGGCATCATTACGCTCCCGACGGAACGACGTGAGGTTGGCCATCACTTCGATGTTGATTGTCGTCGAAGCTAAGCCTACTTTGCGCCCGAACTGTCTGAAGCTGCACGTCGGTCATATTGTGGCAGGGTCCGAGGTTCACTGGCACCGGCGCAGAGGTTTCCCTAGGACAATCCGCTAGGACTATGCGGGGTATACTGTAGCCAAGGAGGAAAGTGCTAGGAATAGTACCGGCGCCTCCATCACAAGCACCTAGAAGGAAAGAAGCAACTCGCAAGGGCAGCTGTGCCTTCGAACCGCCAGCAAACACGGTCACATGATATTTTCGATGGCTGCCACTTTTTCACCTCCTTCCGCTGGATACCGAGTGCGCATTATCGAGGCGGGCTCGCTCTCTTATTAATGACCAGCCCTTGATGCGTAGGACAGTATTCCATGTTCCAAACAGGCGACTGCAGCCACTTTTTCAGCCTCGTCTCACCTCGTAGATCTCGAGTACATGAGAAAATTTCATTTCAGGGGTCCTCTACTGGGCAAGGCAGGGCGTATACCGGAAATCATCATAGATTGTTAGCCAGCATATACGCATACTCATCTACTCGAGCTAGCGATTACAAACTGTGACCTTTTTTCCGGACAAGGTGAATGTATCAACACCATAGCTGAATCGTACTTGGACTCTCCTCGACAGCGTATCTCGCAGCCGAAACTTGTACTAAACATTTGCTTGCCAGACGGGAACACTTGAGAACTGGGGGAACGCGCGGTGCCGCGCTCCGCACCGCGCGCCGCGCCGCGCCGTTTTCAAAACGGTTTGAAAACGGTTTGAAAACGGTTCGAGAATGTTTCGAAAACAACTTGAGAAATGAACTCATCTTTGAAAGCACATGACGCGGCGTTTTCGGCGTTCATTCTCATATATACGGCAGCCGCGGACGATGACCGCTGTTGTGCCCGTCTCCTCCCCGCCCCGCGGAGGTCGACGCCGCATCCCGCCACCGACGATCGTTCAAGTGCTCCCGCTCGCTCTCTTTCTATACTCTTCTACATTCTGTCGGGGTACAAGCCGTTGGCTCTTTTCTCACGACGACACCTTGCTTAGATCTAGTTTAGTCTTGTCCTGTAAGTCGCGCTTCGTTCGTTCAAAAGTCATCGTCTGACACGAGATACAGTACCATCCGCTGCGCCTTCAGTCCTCTTGCAGGGATCTTCATTCCAACGTGCACGGTACGTCTTCGCCCTACTGCTCCTATCTCAAGAATATGCACTCATTCTACGCTCAGGCTTCACTTTGCTCAAACTCCCGAACTCCTACGGCAACGACTCTACCGGCTCTCGCGTCATCAGCTGTATGTCCCATCCGATATTGACTGCAACTGTGTACTGATTGCGTCGAAGATGGGCAATACTAAGAAGCCATGTAGTAATGCCGACGCTCTTGTCCCCGACCTATGCAGTTTGCCAATCAACACGAAATGCCCTCATCATCTCTGCTGCCCGTGCTGTGTTGCAAAGTGTCTGAAGGATCCCGACGGGACTCTATGTCAGCAGCCTACCCACAAGACGCGACGGTATGCATGTACCATCCTAATTCCATCCATGTCCTCATGCCCTGCACAGGAACGAGGCGATCCGACTCCGGTGAGTTACAAACTATTACGCCTCCACGAGTATTACTTACTCGTCTATTCTAGGTTACAGAAAACGGCGGTCGCACGGCGCACAGATGCCGTGGCCAACGCCGCCTTGGGTGACGACACACAGTACGTCCTGCGTCCATGTCTATTCCTGGGTATCATGTGCTGATCCTACTACTAGATCTGCGGACCTGACCTCCATCCCCGTCGTGCCGCGACCGCCTCTCCCGTCCCTGTCCGATCTTGCAAGACCCCCGACGACCACTGGCGCAGCTGCCTCCGGTTCCAGCACCGGCTCGCCATTGGATGCCGCTTGGCATGTTGCCCCGGCAGGTAGTGCAATTGCTGCGGAATTTGATCGGCACGATGCGCAACCCCGTGCCCACACTGCGCGACGAGAGTTGTTCGTCGCTACAAAGGATGCAGCACAGAGTCGTAGTGTTTCGGGGAAGATATGGCAGATGGTCCGTATCTTAGTACTATTACTACTACTACCTGTCGTGTGAACTGACATGCACGCGAACAGCCTTCGGAACGGCCGAAGAATATCATGTTGTCCGTTGACGAGGCGACGGGTCTATTCTTTCCCTCGCACTGTCCGCCGCTGCTCGCTTGTTTGGGCGGCAAGGATGTTTTCGACTATTACGATCCGTCTTGTGAACCGGAGCCTGACTGGGTCATGGTTTCTACGTCTCGTCCGCTAAATTTGTCGTCGAAAATGGGCATGATATTATTTCGTACCTCGCAAGCGCCGTCCACAAACAAGCCCGACTCCGAGTACAACAACTTCTCCACACTCGTCCCCTTCGCTCTTTCCCGTGCATCCGCGTCTACGCTCTCTAAGCGACCTACGGAGTTCGTTTCTCAATCTCCCGCGAAACGGCGGGCTTCAGCCGTGACCCCAGAAGCTATCTCGATGCCCCGAACTCCCTCAGTGTCCGAGCCTCCTTTCCGGCCGTCTCCTCTACACCAACTCGCGGGTCAGCATGCGAATGTACTCGATCTTGATGTCGAGATGAAGTCGCCTGAACATCTGAACGTATGTGTCAGACCGAATGATGTACCGCCACGCTGACTCGTATTCAGGTTATGCCCGCGAATGCAGAAATAAGAGGCGCGCCACCGGTCGCTGCGTCTCTTTCGCCCGTCTATGATTCTCCATCGCAGAGGGCTGACAGGGCGGTATGTCTATATTATTTTCCTCTATTTAGACACCCTCTGATGCGTACCTATAGCCGTATATGAGCGCCATTCCCGAAGCGTCCGGTGTTCTACTGCCTCCTGTCACTGCGGACAGCGAGCCTCTGGAAGACTTTCCTTCGGACTATCTATTGGTCGACATCCTCGACAGCACCGCACTCTACTGCATGTTACGCTCCGCTTGCGACCTAAAAGTCAAGCCTGCTGGCGAGTTGGCATTCCCGTACTACAACATCGGTGTCACGAAAGGTGGTGCCATGCGGGACTTGCTCAAGAAGCTCGAGCGCAGCACTCCCGCTTTGTGCGACGAGTTTCGCAAACTTGGTCGTGACAAAGTCGCGACGTTTCGAGCGTTCAACACATGTCGGAAGCTGCTCCCGCATGGCACAACATCTCCGCTGCCGTGGCCGCGCGATAAGAAGGACGCGGACCAACACTTCACTTACACTGCACCTCCTCCACACGTCGCACCGGGGTATAAGTACCGTCGAGCTTTGGGCACTTATGTTCGCAAGATATCCGCAGAGCCGCCATCCCTTTCGTCCATGGTGTCTTCGCCCGCACTATCCACTCCTGCTTCGCCCGCACCATCTTCGCCTGCTTCGCCTGCATCGTCTTTGCCTGCTTCACCTCAGGCATCTATCATACCGGTGGTCGACTTGCAGAGCAATGTGACCGGTCATTGTGCTATCCCCGACGAGGACGAGTTCGCTGCCTCAAGCTCGGGACTATCCTCTCACACCGACACAACACTTCTTGTTTCGGGGCGTGTTGCTGCCAGTATGACACCTCTCGACCAGGCGCTGCAGGGACTCTTGATGCAGCCGGACAATGGACCACCAGGTACATCCGGGCTCGGTTTCAACCAGCCCGATGTAATGGATTGGTCTGATACCGGGCTCTGGGGGGAGGCGGCGTCGACTGCGGACATGGCGGGTGGTCTATCTCTTCCCCAATCATCTTCCTCCGGTGATGCGGCATTCTCTTTTGCCAATTTCAATACCATTTCATACGACACGACGGCTCATAATGGCCACGATGATACTTGGACCGCCGAACCTTCACTCCCAGCTACGAACTTCACGAACCAGCTACCCTTTGACTATAGTAGCCACACCTCGTATGACTTTACTCTCTACTAATGAACCACTATAGTACCATACTGTCTATAATGTCGTATACCTCTCTACCCTGTAGATCCCATCCTCTACTTCCCGTACATCCCCCCGTCGACTTCCCTTGCATGCGAACAGCACTACACCAGTCTAATCGGCCAACGGCCGCAGAACCTGTTGGCTGCATCTACCTCTTACCGCGTTGTGATACTCCATCCATGCCTAGACGTGTCATGCGTCGAGATATGTCTGCAATAGTTGTGCGCGCGCTGACTCCGCTCAGTATTACCGCGACGCGTGCAGAGCCTTCATCCTTCAATTCCATCCATTTAGCATCGCCACATATGGCTGCCATGATAGTGTACACTCATCGCCTACCCTCGTCAGTATCTGGCTGTAGAATATTGAGGTGTCCCGACCGTGCATTCGTTGCAGATTACATCGCGTCTTCTTCGATTGTGGGCCTGAATGGCCGCCAGCAACGCGCGCAGCTCGATGTGTGATACGTTTATGGCGACTCTACGTGTTCGATACTGAACATCGCACAATGATACCTTCTGTATAGTATGCCAAACAACTTCATTGACACTCGCGATCTCGGAAGTGGCAGTAGGAACTCGCCGCCAGCGATGCTGTGCGCGTCGCAGTTGTTTTCGTTCCACCACCACCACCACCACCACCATCGACAATCGACATGCAGCTAGCGGCCACTGCTTCCGGTACCACCTCTTGGTTGTTACCTGAGACATGTGATCACCCTCACGGGTGAGCACAGTCTACCTCCCTGCCTCCGACGAAAATTATAAACACGATGAATCTTCGTTCGCATGCCGCCGTGCACTCACCCGACATCCTGTCCTCGGCTTTGAGGGGTTTGCAGGACCTTGCTGTTGCACTATGGCAAAGGATAGACCCACATTGCGCTGCGAGGGTGCACACGGAGGTCGCATCTCTGCAGCTCGTCGGCCGGGAGCTCAAGTTGTGCGTGCCGAGAGTTGCTTGTTCTTTTCGTGCACAGGTACAAACCTGCTCTATCAATTTGTGCCAACCAGCCTTATCTGCATGCCAGGTCTACACCACTCTGCCATCTTTCAATGGTATCGCTATTGGCTACCCACACGATCTTAGTCACACATGCGACGGCACGAAGGCCCTCGGGCGATTTGAGTCATGCTCGCACCAGTTTGGTCTGCGAGCGCGATGTCGTTTCCAGAAATATTTTGAAGGGTTCCGACACTATCTCTTCAATATGTAAGGTGCTTGTATGGTGCAGTCTCGGTTCGTACATGTCAATACCGGCACTACCTGCCTTAAGCATACTCATGGGCATGGACAGGTACAATGTGCAGGGCAAGCACGCGCCATCGTCGTACATGCCCAATCATAAATAATCATATTCCCCTATATTCTGATTGAGCCCGGTGATAGCCATGACGTGCGTGGCAAGACAAACCTGCAGCTGTTTCATCTGGGAGGCAGCAGTGAGAACACCCTTATGAACTCCCGTATCTCCGGAGAGATTGTCCTCATCTACGAGGCGATGATCACGGTGCTCGCAATAGTTGATGGCAGTGCTTGTCAGGACCCGATGCTCGCCGCATTTGTGTGGGTGTCGGGCTTCATCATCTAGTCCGGCAAGATGTTGGCTATGTGAGGCCTGCGTTTGCGGGAGCCGGGAGCCCGTAGCTATGAGGACAAACAGGTATAGGATACTATTGATATTAGTCATATCCCCGTGGCAAACTGCATACATACCGGAATGTGGCCTTGTCCGATGGCATGATGGGTGAGCAGGGTGTGGACATGGTATCCGCACACATGCATCTGCGAGTAGAGGGCATCGGGTATAAGTGAGTCATCACACCTTGTCACACAAGGAAGCCCACGTGCGTGCATGAGTAAGCCAGACACTGGCGGGCTCCCGTTCGCTCCGTTTGTTCTGCGATTCCTGCGATATTCACATGGGTGTGACCTGGAAATCCGCGAGTACTCGGATCGATCGTCTCCCTGCGGTCTTGTCGCCATCGCACCTCTCTGCAACACGATGACTATCTCTGTGCAAGATGTTCTCCTACTGCTTGAAGGGCATGCAGAGATATGTGCAGCCCTGCCTCTTGAGAAGTTCTTCTTGTTGATTCGAATTCTGCAATCGTGCCGGCCAGCTCTCAAATGGCATAAGAAATCCTGGCGAACGGGACCACCTTCATCACTTCCAGATAATATCATGGGCTTTCTAGCAGCTGCACTAGACATCGATATGGCCATCCACCCTACACTCCTTGAAACCTGCTGGACAGCCTTGGCTGCGTATATCTGGGAGACAGAACCTAGCACATCCTCGCTGTACTCGAGAGAAGTCGTAGAGCTCTTCATGAGACTTGGTAGAGGTTACAACATGAGTGAGCTCCTACTTATGATGCTACTGTACTCTGTAACTTAGTGTCTCTTCAGCTGTCCAAGATCGTTACCCCGAGCAGTACACCTGTAACTGGGATGTATGCCAGCGAACTCATCCGCAACCTCAATATCTGTCTCTACGTCAGCCAATCCATTGTACTCGGTATACCAAGGAGTATGGTCCAGTCCCGACCAAAGTATATTGGGCTCGCTGTGAGGGTAGGTATTCTCGGCAAACATGACACATATGAACTGACGGCATTCTAGGATGCAAGTCCAAGTACTATCCTGACTACATCGTACATCCCAACACCAAGCACCGCGTCTATCATGCCAGAGTGCCACCAGAGATCCGGGTGACAGAGCGTATCTGTGTTGAATCAGCTCTATGTGATCTTTGGACTGCCAATATGCACTGTGCCTGGTACGTTATGTATTCCCATTAGTCACTCAATCACAAGAGCTCAATATTATTATGACTTGCAGGGTATCTGCAACCAATAACTGCAAGATTTACAACTCTCTCTTTCCCAATGTTGACCGTGATGATCGTGCTTGGGTGGCATTCCCAGTGCCGACGCTGGAGAGCAGCATCGTGTGGGGTGGCTTCTTCATGTTGGCCCTTCTCCGGGAGCATGACGAGCATGGCTTGTGTATGGTGATGGAAGATGAAGGTAGCTTCAATGACCGCCTCGATGAGCTTCTAGAGTGGAGGAACAAACAGATGATCGGAACTGGCCAAGAGGAATGGAGCCATTACTGTGACTTGTGCAGTGAGCGGACCCGCGGGGAGGATGGGTCCTATAGTGCGTACTCACGATGAAGCTGATATCCAAGCTAGATCTGACCATATACTGATTTTAGAGTATATGCGCGTGGTTGTCACCGACGGTGTAACACTTGGTCGGCCATGTTGTGATGCCCACAACTGCCATAACCGTCTTCAGAACACTAAGGAGCGGTGGTGTGAGGAGTGTAAGAAGAAGGGACTTGACAAGAAGTGTGTTGTAGTGCAGTGCACTCGGTTGCGGGAGGAGAAGCATCAGACTTGTGCCGAAAAGGAGCATAGAGATCTTGAGCATGCAGGTAAAGCAGAGCACACAGCATTCTTCCAACTCAAACAGCGACTCCTGGTATGTGCTCAGATCATGTAACATCTAGAGACATCTTTGCTGAAGGATATCTGCTCTCATAGCGGCACGGAATCGGGCATGTCGACGAAGATACCAGCGATGTCGGTCCCAACTCACTTGTTGATGGTCAGGCACAGGACTTTGTAGCTAATAGTCAGGAGGAGACTATACGGAGTCGTCAAGCTCAAGGCCCGTCGAAATCGGAGACAGGGAATGCTGCTCCTCGGGCTCGCTTCGGCCGACGTCGCACCCACAACGAACAACTTGTGGTACCAACATGTGGTGTAATTGCTGCACGAGCGACATTCAATGGTGCGGAATCGCTCACTGGTACAAGAGTGAGTTCTTCACACTATACGACATGAGAGTAGCCAAGCTTATGCATACCTGATAGCAATTTCTGAAGGGTGTTTATCCCACCGAGGCATCGCTTCCCGACGTCATATTTTATGACAACGCGTGCAGCCTCAAGAGGCACCTCCGAGCACAGGACGACCACCACTTCGACAAGTGCATCATGCCTGTTGATGTCTTCCACATGAAGACTAAGCACAAGCCTGGCGATCCTATTTGCGAGACGATCTGCAATCCTGTCTACTATCCTCAGCTCTACGACGCACGCACGGAGACATGGAAATACAATTCATCGGCAGCGGAGATGACGAATGCATGGTTTGGAGAGTTCCAGTCGATTGCACGAGAGATGCGGAAGGAACGGTACGATTTCTTCCTTGACGAGATGATCAAGCAACACAATCGCTTGACCGTGAAGCAGCTGGAGGTGCGGAAGAAACATCCCGGCCGGTTGCCACGACACGAGCTCTGAGTAGCATGTATATTGTAGTCGATATAGTCGGCATCTGAACAGCTTGACTATGTTCCAGTCTTGGCCCGATGAGCTGATGGGCGGTTACAGCCACTTGTAGACACCATAGCTGTAAGGCACCCCGGCTGAGACGACCCATCGACGGCGTGCAAGGAGCTGGACAAAAGTGACGAGAATGAAAGCACTGGGAGAGTACACGACGAAAGAAGAGGGGTATGAGTGCGATGGGTATCAAGATAAAAGTAACGAGGGAGCACAATCAGACGTAGCGGGCGACGGGAGTCAATGGTGGGAAGTTCAAGCCATGAAGCAAAGCGATGTGGGTAAGGCTAGGTATCCGATTGGATAAAATGTGAAAGGGACGACGAATGGAGTTCAATCGAAGTGAATGAGACAGCGAACTCAAATGCATATTCTAGACAGATAGAGAGCGGGGTTCAAAGAGATGGTGGAGGCGCGAACTGGGGCATATGCGACGGTGACGGCGGAGAGAAGAACCCCATATATGTGCACGATGACCGGGACCGGCGTAGTCGAGCACACCGTGTACGCTGTGGTTGTCATACGAGCCGCGAAGCAACTATCAATCGCGGACACGGCACCGCCCGACTGCATATCGCCCGACCGCATATCAATCTAAGCCGACTCAATGCATAAGCACACTATCCGGGCTCTGCATTGGGCAAATCGCACTAAGGGTGTAGGCTTTTAGTACAGGAAGGGGGCTTCTGTAAACGGAGTACATACCCGGGCGACACAAGCATCCCGTAGTGGACATGTCGAAGAGACCTGGACATCTTGGAAGGCGAAAATCAGGTACATTCCTGTTGCACGACATTCGGCCACATACCTTGCCGAGCAGATACCAGGGCCTGGTGCCTAATACGTGTCGCATGTGGCGGCATCACGGCTGGTCGTAAGCATATCGACATGAACCTATTCATGAACCTGTTGGCCCTATCCGTGATCGCCTACAAGAGATATTCGAGCGGTAAGCGATAACACGCGCACACAGACAGTACCGACATACATTGCCCGATTGTCACGACACGCATCACTAGCGGGCGGCAGGTCTCGCACCGAGTGTAGACATCTGCATACTAATGACAGAGTACCTGAGAGCAGGAGATAGTTATGAGTCATTTGTGATAGAGACCCGGGGAATCAAGACTTACACGACTAGCACGGCACAGGCCGTAATTGAGAGGGAAGACGTCAAAGGGCTCGGCGCGTCGACAATGCCCTCAGCGAGCACGAGCTGCGATGCTATATCAATATACAAGACATAAGTCGCAGGGAGTTGACGGCGTACCTTCATGGACGAGTCGCTTAAAGGGTGATACCCGCAGGCGACTATAAGGCGTGATGCCAAAGCGAGGAGGAAGGGACACATCTCCACTGGCGAGTGATAGACGGCCCAGAGCGCAGCATGGTTACCAGTGGAAGAGTCGAAGGGGACAAGGGTTGCAGGGCGCGAGCGATGCGAGCAGGACGGTGAAGGGGAAAGACCGAATGACGTCCTGAGCAAGCAGAGGGTATAAAAAGGTCCCAGAGCTATGCGATAAGGGTTGCCGCGGTGCCGCGGTGCGGAGCGCGGTGCGGAGCGCGGTGCGGTGCGCGGCGCGGTGCGCGGTGCCAGGCGCGGCGCGAAGGCAACTAAGGCTCATCGTGGTTCGAGTTGAGTGAGCGCGGCGCGGAGGCGCGGAGGCGCGGTGGTCACGAGATAGGCGCGGCACCGCGCGGCAATATTCGAACGCGGTGCGGAAGCGCGGTACCGCGCGTTACACCAGTTTTTGAACTTTTTGTGCCAGACGGTCACACGCCGAGGAATATAAGGTGCAGTTGATTAATTTGCCACAAGAGAACAGAACCTCGAGCTTGCGCCCAAGACATGCATCAACGCCAACCATCCAGTAACCTCAGGAAGAGGGTAATCCATCAGACAGACGCGCAACTCGCAGGCAAGGTGGCCCGCCCACCCGAAGGCAAGCGAACCAACCGAGCCTAACGTCCTCGACACCCCACTCGCAAGCGAGCAGGACGATAAGTTCTCGGTTAAAACGAGTGCGCGCAAGTGTCATCGACTGGATTTGAAGGATGTGGCATGTGTAAACATGCAAGACTCGAGTTAGTTTCTATAGAATAGATCCTAGCTGAGTATGTTCTGAGGAAAACGGGACAGAGAGAGGCGAGGCTTATATAGTGCTTCGAGGGACCGTGGGAGGATACGAAATTTTGCGATTGGTCCGATATCGGATGGTCCGTGCGCGCGACAAAACGTGACGCAGAAGGCGCGCGCCACGACGACGACGCGTCGGGCTGGCCTTGGGCGCGTCGACTTCCAAAGTCGGGCATAGAACGAAGTGATAGTACTCTATGTCTATGGCAGAATGTACATGCGCATCATCGAAGCCTCCACTTATTGACCCGACGCAGACTCGGATAAGTCTCCCTCAACTCTTCCAGAACGTCCTTCGCCCTCCCATCGTCCACCTCCCAATCGGGCTCGAGGCCTGACGGGCATCGAACGCCCTTGACGACTTCAAGCTTCGGAAACAATTGCATGGCCTCCTGCAGCGTGAAAAGATGTATGTCCCGTACCCAGGGCCGAAGCACTGCGCGAGTAAGGCGCGTTACGACTTGACCATTCTCGCGCCATGCCCCGCGACGCGGTAGAGTGAGCTCCTCGAGGTTGGGGAAGTAGTGCGCCAGCTCTCGCAACGTGTGGAAGTTGTCGAGGGAGCCTAGATGCAACGATCGCATGGTGTCTTGGTTAATTGCGTCGAGTAACGGCAATAGTTCGTCGTTCAGCGGCACGTCCTTCATAGAAGCCAGGTGCACGCTGCCTTGCTTCTCGCGTGAGAGCAACATGGCGAGGAACGACGAATTCGGTGATGACAGTTGTCGCAGGGCGGGCAGGGATGAACATGGTATGGGCATTGACGGGACCGTCGCCCAGCGAAGCATCTCAATGGTGGGATGCGCGTTCAAGAAAGTGACGATGTGCGACGTGATTGAGATAGACCACACGTATCCGCGATTGAAGCGCTTGAGGTGGGGCAGTGGTATGTCACTGAGCTGGGCAACCTCAACCTCGGTGAGGAAGTCGGGAAGGCGCAGGTTCTGCCAGAGATTTGAGCTCTCGTATTTCGTATACTCGAAATCATACATACCTCTAGCTCGGGAGAGCGCCGCAATACGGCTTGGTATGCGGGCCAAAGAGTATCGTGGTCCCCTTTTACATCTATTTCGAAGGACTTAAGCCCAGAAAGCGCCCAGAGCTGATCGGTTTTGTTAGCTAGGCACGTCGAGTGGATTCAGAGTACCAACCGGATGGTCTGCATTTGCCAGAGCTTTCACGTCTTCATCCCCGAGGCTGGTCATAGTCGACACTCGTTCCAAGGATGGTAGATTTTCAAAGACGAGCCTCAAGGTATCCGGTAGGACGTGCAGTGCGGTTTCAACGTTGCTCTTGCGGATGTACATTAGATGCAGTCGCCTCGCATTCGCCATACTAGCAAGCGAACGAGCGATATGCTCCGCATCGAATCGGCCCAGTGTGTACTCATGCCCCAAAGACCCGAGCCCACGCGGAAGCCTCAACTTCCCGGTATGTGGCTTTACTTGCAGAGGGTCATCGTACAACGTCAGGTTATGCACGAGCCGTGCAAGTTGAGGGTGGGCGCATAGATTTTCCCAGAGGGCTTCGTGGTAAGGTGTGACCACCAGTGTATGATAGTCGAGACGGTCAGGAAGAACGTAGGCGGCGAAGAAGCGGCAGGTCAGAGTCAAAGAAAGCAGGTCAGAGCGTACGTCTATGTAGTCTAGGATAAGTTCGAGAAGTTCCGGTAACAGGGTGAGAAACCCCATGAATGTGGTGGTGCACGCGGGAGATGATCGCGAGGGTTCCGATTAGGCGGACAGTCCAGCGGATATAGTTCCACAGATTATTTCAGGAAAGAGTAGACGTTGTGTATCTCAAGCGGCTCTATGCAAGAAGGTCCGAGAAAGAGGATGGTGGTGGTGCCATTCCAACCTACACGCCAACGCCACTCAGGCTCGATGGGGTCGAACGACATTCACGTGTTCCGTGATATCTTGATTCCTTATGCATGGAAGTGATGGATATGTTGGAAGCGTGTTGACCTGATTGTCCTGCCGCGACGGTCCTTAGGATACGAATCAAGGATCCCGGCGGTACAGGTGACGGCGCGGGACGAGTTGTGAACAGTGATGGGTGGCGGCCATAGATCAACGCGCCAACGTGGCTTGCGGCCGCTCACCACCTTCTCTCATCTCATCTCTCAGTCGACCGGTCCGGCACGTCTTCCATCGTTCATTACTTGGATCCACCAATGTAAGTATCCGCTATTACATCTAGGTGAGACTTCGACAATAACCAGTATCATGCAGTTCAAGATGGTCGTCAACTTGTCACTATATGCCGTGAACGCGTTCGTGGTTCTCGATACGGACGGGCACCGCGTGATGGCCAAATACTACAACCCGAAGAGCCGCGGCTATCTTGGAGATGAGACGGCAAATAAGGGGCTAAACACGCTCAAGGAGCAACGTGCATTTGAGAAGGGACTATTCGCCAAGACGAAGAAAGCAGGAGGTGCGTGCTTTATGTTGGCGTATACTGAGCTGCAGCTGAATGGACACGTGGTTGTATCATAGGCGACATTATCTTGTACGATGGACACTTAGCCGTGTACAAGCACTCGCTTGATCTCATATTCTACATCCTTGGCGGCGCGAGCGAGAACGAGCTCATGCTGCAAGCTGCCCTATCCGCTTTCTCCGACGCCGTGCACATGCTCTTGCGAAACCAAGTAGAGAAGCGCGCCTTGCTCGAGAACCTCGACTTGGTGGTGTTATGTTTGGATGAGACCATCGACGACGGGTACGTGCTCCCACTCAGGTTCACTGCTATGCACTTGCTGAATATCGGAATGGTAACAGTGTCATCGTTGAGACCGACTCCACAACTATCGCGTCCCGCGTGAGCAGGCCAAAAGCGGATACGACGGAGATCGTGATCAACGAGCAGACGATCATGAACGCGTACCAGACTATGAAGGAGAAGATGCAGCAGCGCATTGGCCAGCTATAATGCTCATGATGTATACCTCTTCTGTACCGCATTGTGGATAGCTTTCGTTGTTTTCATTATTTGATGTGACCATCTATCGACCGTAAGCATGATCGTGTGAACTATCACCGCATTGGCTCGCCCTCTGGGGCTGACGTCCTAGTTTGCTAGCTCTGTTCGCGCTACGCTCATCACTTCTTTTCCAGCGGTCATGGCTTCTCGACGCTTCAAGCTGGTCTTCTTCTGCCCTGCTGATAAGACCCACCGAGTACTCGAACAGCTCTTTGGGCGCTTTCCAGGGCAACTTGGGAGGATCGGCAACTACGAGCAGTGCGCTTTCCTTACGAAGGGCATAGGTACAATAATCGCTCGTCATAGTGAAGCATGCCTTCTGAACGGTTCTTAGGTCAGTTCAAACCTGTGGGTGCGGCCAACCCCGCTATCGGTGAAGTTGGCCAGTTGGAGCACATAGAGGAACACCGCGTAGAAATCAGCGTTCGGGATAGTGCCAACGACCATCAGGGCATAAAAGACATCATAAGCGAGCTCAAGAAGGTGGGTGCGCAAATCCTCAACGAGATCAAGCCTTGGTCTAAACCGAAGCGAGATCACAGGTTCATCCATACGAGGAGGTCGCGTACGATGTATACCAGTTGATGGACTTCTGACAACATTGATTTGTAACATGGATAGCAAGAGTAGAAAGCACATTGATACGACGACAACATAACATGATCATGCGCTCATCCTAAAAGATGAGACGCGTCCTGGCCATAGAAAGATCGTGAGGGATCCTGCTTAACGCGCTCGTCTTTAATGTGTCGAGCATCGATACGCGCATCCTCATTCTCAACGGCAAGTGCTGCCTGCGGCGTTTTCGCGTCGATGACCTACAAGACAGCATCAATAAGGCGGTGGTGAGAGGATAGACGATAATCGCGCACATAATGATTGTCGCAATGCGGGCAGTACTCGTCGCTCTCTTCGTACGCCTCCATATCCTTTCGGAACGCCTTCTTGCATTTCTTGCATATAAACGTCATCTCCGTCGTCTTTTGCAGCTCATGGTCTTGCGCTTCGGCGTGGCATTCGCTGCAGTCATACCACTGCTTACAGCAGGGCGCGCGGATGCTCACTTGCGCGTTGAGGATGTGCTTGCTTCGCGGTGCGATGTGAGACAGAGAGTATGGTGGTGCATGGCATAGCGCACCACATAGTATACTGGTTCGTAACACGGATGGGGCGTGTACTACTCGTGCCACGAAAGAGTGGGCGACAGAGGCAAGTCGAAATGTGAGTGCGTGCGCTGCCGTGCCCTGGATTCGTGTAATGCACACTGCGTATATCATCCCCGGCGGACATTCAAAGTTTAACGTCACTTTGCCGGAGTGGTTAACGGGATCGCCTGCTATTCTATAGCATCTCAGCGGTTGTGCTTTGCACGCGAGTGTTCGAATCGCTCAGGTGACGACCTTTTTGTTACTTTGATGTTGTTTCACCGAATTTACAGAGTATTTCAGATCAGATAGACGTTTTGCGGTCTCACTATACCTGCTGACATCAGTACTCCTCTCGCCGTCGCCCCGTGCGTGATTACCCTGATCATGAGTCGGCGCGTGCACTTGCGTCCACCCGCAACTCGACGCACTCGCGTTCCCCCGTCATCATGCTGCGGTACAGCAGTTTGCCTATCTCTTCACACACTCCCCAAAACGCAAACATACCACTTGCAGCGCCTGTACTTAGGCCTCCTACTCAATAGACACTGGCTGCTCATCAATCCAGGGCAGGGCCCACTTGTGTCCCGTGTGAACGTGAATAGTAGCCCCTCTTATAAAGCCCCGTCGACGGCGTTATGATCCCGACGGTTCTGTGCATGCACCTAACATCATGGGTGACCTTCCTACCGAGCTGCTCTCTGCTATCGTGAAAGATCTCCCTGCGCGAGATCTGCGCCAGCTGCGCGCTACTGACAGGCGATTGAAGGAGGTCACAGAGCAGGGCGCCTTTCGTCAGATCACCATCACGAACACCGTGAAGAGCATTGGCGGGCTCGTGCAACTACTGAACTCGGACCGTCTGCGCGAGTTCGTAGAAGTCATTGACTTCAAGGAAAGACCTCGACCTGCGGAACTCGGCGAACTCCGATATAGTATGTCTGTTTTTGAGCCACCGTCGCGTGCAGGCATCTGATAAGTCACAGTACCCCCTGATCCTGTGGCGTCTACAGAGGCAGACGAGGGACTCTATCAGGCGATACAAACGGCTTTAGCCCAGTTTCATCGCTTCCCACGCTTAAACACCCTGCGCCTCATATTCCGCAAAGTGTACGACATTCCGTTGTTCCAAGAAGATGGCTACCAGCCCTTGAACGAACCACCGCCGTCCGCATCTATCGACCTCCAGCGGGCATTAATTGCAGGGCTGGGGGCCTTTGGCGAGAACTGCGGCAACATGCCGGTGCATCATTTGGCCGTACAAAATCTTCTGCCATACGCGCACGAAGCTTTCGCGCATCCAGGACTCGCCCGGCTCCTCTCATCTCTGCATGTGCTCGAGATTGGGATCAACGATGCGAGCGAGGAGGTCGGTGCCTATGGCGCTGCCAACCTTCCTGTGTTCTATGAGCATAGCTTACCACGCATTCTCCGCGCTGGTCAGGAGCTACGTGAGCTCACGCTTGCTCCGCGCGCAATATACATCGGAATCGAGTTCTCGCTCAACTTCAGCGGTTTGACCATCCCGCATCTCGAGAAGGTTTCTCTTGCGCGGGTCTCATTCAAAGAGACTGATCCCACTGGGCCAGAACACTTCATAATCCGACATGCAGGAGCGTTGCGTTCGCTGGAGTTGATCTATTGTACTATCCATAAGTACGAGGACGAGCTGGTGATAGACCGCCCTTGGGCCGCGACGTGGAACCTATTCGCGGAGGAGCTCAAGCTCTTGACAAAACTGCGCGTTGAGTGGGAAGGGTCCTCTGGCGAACACACGCAGCTCGGCTACTGTTCGGAGGAGCCTGGGGTTAGTTGGGGCCCTAGCAATCATTACCCGATTGATGGTGTTGAAGGGGATGCAGCTGCGCTGGATGCTTTCGCTGAGATTGTGAAGGCCAGAGATGGTGGTGAGGTGACCATACTCGCGACTATTCCTGATCGTGATAGCGACGTAGATGAGGATGAGGACGAGAATGAGGGAGAAGACGGAGAAGACGGAGAAAGCGACGAAGAAGAGGAAGATTCGGAGTAACCTCAACATCGCCTGGGCTGCTCGAACACAATGATGCGCTGTTGCTCGTAGAGTCTATAGTCTGGCATCTATCCCTACATTTTCCAGGCCAAACGGATAACTTCCAGGCCATTGAACTCACTGTATGCATACACATCGCAAATCGTGAATTGGCGTGTGTAACGTGACACAAAGATGAACGAGATACGCTGAGCATACAAGATCACCGCCGAGCAGATCGATAAATACAAGAGAGAGCAAGCCGCGAAGAGAAGCAGCACAAACACATCGAGCGAGGCGTCAGACAGTTCGACAAGGAGAGACATCATGGGACGAGAGATAAAGGGAGAGGGAGGGGACAAGTGAGAGGGAGATTAGAATAAGTGCACAAAGTTACTTGGGAAAATGTGCCGTCCGGGCACGCGCCGCGCCTCGTCGAGGAGCTCGCCGGACCACCATCCGTCTTCGGGTGTAGCAGTGACAGCAATGATATCGCCCTGCTGGAAGTCGAACTCCTCTGGGATGGTAGCGGAGTAATCGTACAGCGCCTTGACTGCAAAAGAGATCAGTATGCATGCCAAGTTCAAACGCGCACCAGAGCACGTACCATAGAACAGAACTCCGCGCCCGTCCTCCGTATATTGCCGTGTAGGCGGCACCGCCTGGTTCTGCTGCATCGCCGGCTGGCTAAGCGCAAGCGGCTGAGGTTGAGGGCTCGGCGACCGTCCGCGACCAGCATACGCGTTATACTGCTGTTGCTGACCATACGCCGACTGCTGCTGCTGAGGCTGGCCATATCCACCTCCGTACGCGTTCTGGGGCGCACCCGGGTACGCCTGATGCTGACCGTACTGCTGCTGCGGCTGCTGCTGAGGCGGAGGCGCACCGTATCCCGCTTGCTGACCGTTCTGGCGCCCAACCGTATTTTGACGTCCAGGGCCATTCTGCGCGTAACCCTGTTGCTGCTGCTGAGCAGGTGCGCCGTACCCCGACGGACTCGTCGCAGCCGCGTACGGGTGTGGTGCCGCCTGACCGTACGACTGCTGAGGTGGCGCGCCGTACTGAGGCTGTTGCGGGGGCGGCGGGACGGCCTGTGGTGCCTGCTGCTGTCCGTAGCCCTGGTACCCGCGCACAGGGCTCTGACCAGGCGGAGGACCATAGCCGGCAGGAGAACCTGAGACGCTGGGCCTACGAGCGATCTGGTTGCTTTGTGCGGGTGTGCCGAGTTGCGAGCCCGGACCAGGACCGTAGCTACCCTGGCTATGCGCCGGCGGACGCTGTTGCGCGTATGCACCTGCCATGTTGTCTTCGACGACGTTGCCGTGCGGGTCGAGCGCGATGCCTACGCTATTCACGGGCCTACCGGGACTGACGGCACGTATCGGTCCCTGTCCAGGTCCAGGGAGACCGGGAGACGGGCTACGGCCATGCGCACCGACGCCTGCATGCCCTTCACGCGACACAGGGCGTTGGAGTTGTTGACCCATGCCCGCCGCTTCGTTAAAGCTATTACGGCGCGAGTTCGGGCGCGAGCGCTCGCCAGGGAACGACTGGCCATACTGCGCAACGACATTGCTGAACATGTCCTGTCCCTGTGGCGGGCCAGTGCTGCCTTGTGGCCGCATATGGTTGTTCGTGATACCGGAGGACTGAGGCTGAGGCGCGGCAGGGGACGAAGGGCGAGAGTTCGCGAGCGGATACCCACCAACGACGACCTCCGCACTGTTGCGGTAGTCCCTGTTGCGAGGCGCACCGCTAGGTGCAGCAAGGTTTGAGGGCGGGGAAGTGGTCGTCTTCCGTGTGCCGGAGCGTCCGACGCTGCCACCTGCGCCCGCAAGCAGCTCCTGACGTGCGCGTTCGATGGGATCAGAGATGTCACCGACGTTCGGGTTCTGTCCATTCTGAGAGACTTGAGAGCCGCGCGCGGCTTGCGGGTTCCGGTCAGGGTCGACAGGGTACGCCTGTCCGCCGATAGAGATCATCTGTTGTGGATCGACAGCGGAGCCGCTGCCGGCGCCGCCGGTCATCGTGCGTGGAAGAGCCTGGGTGATGGGGGCAGGTGATGTACCATTTTGCTCGGGCGGTGGGCGGGCGCTGGCACGACTCTGAGCGCGAGATGGTGGTTGCTGTGGCGCTGCCTCGATCATAGATCCACGATTGCCGGAGCCCACTCCTGCGGTATTCACGACGGGCCCATCGTCCTGAGGCTGAGGTGCCGTCGGGATGGGGCGGTTTGTGCGCTGCGACTCACGCTCGAACTGGGCCGGGCGCGTGGTCGGGCGAGTGGACGACGGGAGAGCACCCTCAGGAGACGAGTAGCTGACGAACTGAGGAGGGTCGGGGATCTGGTTGCCGGTACCGTAGGATGAGACGAAGTTCTCCTGGTCGCGCTCGGGCTCGAACTGCTCCAAGGAAAGGCGAAGACGTTCGCAGCTTTCGTCGTCTGACACACAAACGATGCTGACGGCATTCGCGTACGCCCAGACGTTATCCTTGGTGAACTCCATCCGATCGTCCTCCAGATCCTGGCACGAGTCGCAGAAGATCTTCCACTCGTGTTCCCAGTGCGCGACACTATCCTGGAGAGCACGAGCAAAGTTAGCAAAGTCGCGCTCATTGGCGTGCACGGTCTGCTGCGCGCGTTCGAGCTTGAGCGTGATGCGTTCCAGGTCTTTGCCCTGGACAAGCGAGCTCTGCGCCGTATACGCATTGATGCGCAGGCAGTCCTGCTCGTACTTGTCACGTGCCTTTGCAACATGTTGCTCCTGCGCCTGCTTGTTTTTGAACTGCTTTTCGATTGCGGCAATAGCAGTGCGCTTGTGCTGGGTTTGTCTCTGGACGAATGCGGCGGCGGGAGCCTCGAGGTCGTTGCGAATCTGCGAGGCGAGTTGGATATGGAAGGTGGACTGCTTTTCTGTCTCGGTCCGCAATGTATCGAGAGCTGTTCGGAAATCTCTGGATATGGAAAGTCAATAATCATTTCCGAGTACAGGGATAAGAGGCGCCCGGCAGATTCGCAATCCTGATGCGCTCATGACCAGGAACGGAAAGGCAACGGAGCGCCCGGGCTAAGAAGCTCCCCACTTGCAGACATGTCAAATTGCACACGTCTCGCAGACCTTGACTGGGCGACGCCGCTGCCAATTGAAGCCACCAAGACAGCGACGATCGCCACTGAACGGACCACCGTCCGACGGAACTGCGCAACGAACACGCGTCCGACGACCCATATATATTCGCATGAACGGGACAGGTCAAGGCAATATAATAGGTTAGCAACTCGAAGAAAACTGTGGCGAGCTTGCAAGAACTGGGCCGAGAACGAAGTGACGTTTACTGACCCTATCTCATCGCGACCAACGGTGGATTTGGCCAACTTGGCCAGCCGTTTAGCGTAGTCCTCCTCTAGCAATGCGCTGTTTGCACCCTGAGTATCTATCCTAGTACACTGCATACATCACGTACCGCTCCTTCCAAAAGTTTCGCAACTCCTCCATAGTACGTGAGGCGCCGCGCATGCGGGCGAACAAGACTTCAACGCCACCATCCGCAATACCCCAGAAGTTGTTGCAGTAATCGAGCGAAGGGACATTAGGGTCGGGCGAACCAGCGCGAGCGAAACGCGCGAGAGACGTAGTCGACGGCTGCCGACGAGCAGACATGACGGTCAAGATGCAGTGCGCGTTCACCGCCTCTCGAACATATCGCATCTCCCGGCCCGATCATCCCATCAATTCAAGTTGGACCCATCTCTGCTCTTGCTCTCATGATCATCGGCTGGCCCCTTCCGTTCTATGGTGTCTAAGGTGGCATCCAGTCCTATCTACCCGTACTGCGTAGTTTCTTAGTGGTAGAAGATGCAGCACGATATAGAAGACTCCTTTGTCGACCCATCTCGCGTTCTTTTGTCTTCTGGTGCCTCGATATATCAACCGTGGGTCCGTGACGTACCTTGTAACACGCAATATATCAATGGACCGGCGGCGTTGCTCCAGACCCAACGAAGAGAAACGACAAAGGACGACATCACGCTACAGTCCTTCGTACGTATGACAACACGTCCTACTCGCAACTGTGTCTATATTCGACGTCCATGCGGGATCGTTGCACAGGGTCGACAACCGCGGCCAGCGACCATCAGGATGTAGTATTATTTCATCAAGGCCCGTGCAACCCGAGGTGGAAACGATTCGCATTTTGATGCGCGCCCTGCCGGTTGGTACAGAGGGACTTTCGCCCCCTTCGGGGTGGCATACGAAAAAATTGGAACGATACAGAGAAGATTAGCATGGCCCCTGCACAAGGATGACACGCTTCTCCAGAGTGGTAGACCTACGGGTCTCAATATTTATTTTGCTTCTTGCTCTTATCCACACTACCAAACCACTCCTCATTCACTCTTTCCAAGCAGATTGTTGAAAGAAAAATGTATGCATTGTGTGTAGTACTTTGTGCGAGATATGAACAAGATCGTGTGTGGGTATATTACAAGAGCCGAGAGCGCCAGCGCAATCAGACTTGATGGGTATCATACAAGAAGTACATAGTTCAGAACGGGAAGCCCGCAGGCAAGCCGACCGTGCTGTTCTGCGTTCCCTGGGTCACAGTCAAGCCGAAGGGCAGTTCGCCCTCGACGGGAAGCTGATTGGGCAAGGTGAAGTTGAACTGCCTCGATTGCACGCCACCATCATCGCGCTTGAACGGGAAGCCCGCAGGGAGGCCGACGGTGCTGTTCTGAGCACCTTGGGTGACGGTGAGTCCGAAGGGAAGGGTACCATCGACGGGGAGTTGGTTAGGTAGGGTGAAGTTGAACTGGCGCCTGAATGGGAAACCCGACGGGAGACCGACAGTGCTGTTCTGTGCACCTTGCGTGACGGTCATGCCGAAGGGGAGCGTTCCCTCAACAGGCAATTGGTTGGGGAGGGTAAAGTTGAATTGGCGAGCCTCGACGCCGCGTTTGAACGGGAAGCCCGAGGGAAGCCCGACGGTGCTGTTCTGCGCGCCCTGGGTC